ACATCAATTTTGTTATTATTATATAGACATCATGTGGATTTGTTTTGGAAGTTATTTTTGTAATAGGTGCAATAAGTGAGATTGTGTATTGTCATGGATCCTCTTTTATTTTTTTTTATTAATTCAAATTAAAATTATTATAAAAAAGGTAAATAAATCGCACATTAAATTGATAAATTATAAATAAATTATTAAATTATTTTTTATTGGTATTAAATTGTATTAGTTTGGTCTAAAAAATAGTTTATTGATCGATCAAAAGTTAAGCATATTTTAATGTTGGTTTAATCCGGAGAGTGGAGGATTTAGTTTTTATTGATACAAAAACTAACTCAAAAATATCATATTATCTATAAATATCAACAAATAAATAATAAAATAATTATCAAATTCACTTTCAAATTGCTATGTTTATTTGAAATGAAATTGAAAGATTTTTAATTATATTCATTTAATTCAATATGACAAACTACATAACTACACACACACATATATTATTAAAGTTACTTTTCACTCGTATAAAATGTATAATAGCTAACATATTTTTTATTTTATTGTATATGAAATTCCATTCTCTATATGTATGTTAATCAAATACTTTTTTGTTTGACAACAATCACAACTCATAAACAAATTTATTAGTACGAGTTGTAACCAACCTTTAAACCAAAACCAAACATAAGGATAATTATTTACAATTTGAATAAAAGGGCTTAAATCCTTACTTCATGTTATAGTGGCTTTAGGCCTAGATTGAAATTATCCACTCAATGGGCTTTACGGTCTTTTAGATCAGCCCAACAATAAACCTATGTAATAAAATAAAATAAAAGTTACTTCAAAAATGAAGATGGGCTTTGAGTATTTTATTTGGGTACGAGTCCCTCGACTCACTTCGTTTTAACTTTTATGCTCTTTGAATTCGATAGAGACTCTCCTCAACTCTTTTATCCGAAAATTTTCAAATTCTTACTTTGATGACGGACTCACCGACTCAAATAAAGCAACGAGCGAGGTCTTCAAAATTGAGACTTTAACATAATTTAAGTTCAACTCGCTTTCCTTCTAATGGTCTTTTGTTTGGTGGAAAATGTTTTTCTAAAAGATTTTTGTTAAGTTGTTATCTATTTATACTATTATTGAATAATATTATAGCGATCATTTTTGTCTTGTTAATTAAAAAATGATGTAATTGTATTCAATAAAAGATAAGGTAATGAATGCATTAATGAAACAAAATTGAATTATGACAGTTGCATAATTTTCCACAAGCATACTATCCATTTACATTTTTTATAAAAGTTTTGATTTTTTTTATGGTTAGGTTTTTCAATTTTTTTGACATAATTTTTACTTCTTTCCAAAGGTTTTTCTTTATTTTTTTAGAAATAAAATAAAAATTATATAGCAAAAATGAAAATTGGAAAAAAATAAAAATAATTAGTGACATAAATAAATAAATAAATAAATTTTTTTATTTTTTACTTTTTAAAATAAATTTAAGAAATTTCCCATTGTAACTAAAAAATTTGGTCAGCATATATAAATAAAAAATTTCTCAATAATTTTGCGTATTAATTGTTTGGTTTCTATTTATTGTTTATATATATATACATCGGAATCAATATAAATTTGGCAGGGCTAGCTCTTCTCTATTTTTGATAGGCAAAAAATTAACTTAAAGTTGATTTTACCTTGAATAGAAAGACTAACGTTGTCATTTAAGCCAAACCACGTACACTCAACCATCAAAATAAGAATTTCAAAGTTATGTTTGTTAAAAAAAAAAAAAACACAACTTGTAGTATCATTGAATCCTAAAATTCTGTTTATTTTGTAAAAAATAATTTTTAGAAAAATATTTCTCCTATTTTCTAATGCAAAAATAACTATGAAAAATAAGTCAATGAAAATTTTTTTTTAACAACCCATGAAAAATGTTTATTTAGAGACCAATATTTTAACATTAGGAAGGAAAGAAAATAAAAAATTTGTACTAGCGATTCACAATATTCATCAACATAATAATTTAATTACTTCAACCACCACCAAGACAACCATCAATCTACCATCGCTAGCCACCACCATACTATCATCGTTAGTCGCCACCATCAATGCCATCATAGCTGCAATCTTACTCGTCAAGATAATCACCATCCCACAATATCTCAAACACCATTGCCATCACCATAACAACCATCCAATCATCTCCTCACCACCTCTACCGTCACCAATGCCACTTGTCACCACCTTGGTTATATATACCACCACTTCATCATCATTTTCATGATCACCATTTATTAATCCAACATCACTACCGCCACAATAACAATTACTATCACTAACTATTTACACCACCACCACCACCATCATTGTCATATTATTATTAAAATAACAACTATTATTTTATCATCTTTTTCACTTTTATTATTCTCACAACAACTATCATCCTACAATATAACCACTATAATCACTAACATCACAATTACTTTGATTAATATTATTACAATAACTATCATGATCATCAACATCACTACTATTACTATCATTTATCACCAACACTATAATTTTTCTTATTTTATTTATCATCATTAAAAAACTAGTAATAAAAAATAATTTATTTTACATAAAAAATATTTTCTACAAAAAAATGTACCAAGCATGTTAGAATTTCCAAGGCTTAGATAAACCCCATATGCTATGCGCGCAAGATTGCCATATTGTTATTTATTTGAGTAACTCCGGTGCAAAATAATGTCCCTTGTTTAAGGCAATCAATATGTAACATTGCACAATGAATCATATTTTAGTCTTTATCGGTTAAAGTACCATCACAATCTAAAAATTTAAGTTTTTAGGTTGAGATAATTCTTTGACATAGTATCGGAATCTTGATGACCAAACGATCGCATATTCGAATCTCACCACCTCCACTTCTCTTCTAATTAATTAAGAACAAGATATATGAGTCCGTGTAAATTTCAAGTCCAAAAGACTTTCGTTTAAGAGAGTGTGTTAGAGAGTAATATAAAATTATTCGTGGTGTCTCACCTAATAGTTTAAGCTTTTGGGTTGAGATTGTTTTTTGAAATGACATCGGAACCTAGATGACTAAATGATCACGAGTTCGAATGTTACTGCCTCCATTTCTATTCTAATTAATTAAGCATAAGGTAGTATAGGGATGTGCAAGTTTCAAGCCCAAAAGGCTTTCACTTGAAGAGTGTGTTAGAGAGCAATAGGCAAGCATTTATAGAGCCTTACCTAACAACTTAAACTTTTAGATTGAGATGTTTTTTGGACATGATATCAAAGTCTTGATAACCAAACGATCGTTAGTTTAAATTTTACCACTCTTATTTCTCTTCTAATTAATTAAGCACAAGATAGTGTGAGTTAGTGTAAGTTTCAAGTCCAAAAGGCTTTACCTTAAGAGAGTATATTAGAAAGTAATGTAAAACTATTCATGGTGTCTCACCTAACAATTTACGCTTTTGGATTGAGATTGTTTTTCGAAATGATATCGAACCTTGATTACCAAACGGTCACAACTTAGAATCTCTCGCCACCTCCATTTCTATTCTAATTAATTAAACACGATGTAGTGCAAGGATATGCAAGTTTCAAGCCTAAAAAGTTTTTATTTGAGAGATGTATTAGAGAATAATATAAAACCATTCATGCAACCTCACTTAACAGTTTAAATTTTTAGATTGAGATGGTTTTTGGATATGATATCAAAGTCTTGACGACCAAACTATTGTAAGTTTGAATCTCATAACTCCTATTTATCTCCTAATTAATTAAGTACAAGATAGCGCAAGCTTGTTCAAGACTTTCACCCGAAGAGTATGTTAAATAGTAATATAAAATCATTTTTAAGATCTTACCTAACATATTAGCCTTTAGGGTTGAGTGGTTCTTTGAGACTATCACTCCATCCAAATTAATTATTATTCCAATAAATCTTTCAATTAAGTAGGGAAATCAAATTATTTAACAAGAATAAATGACTATGAAAGAAGAGTTATGATCGGAGAAAAAAAAAAACAAAAGAGGCCACGAATAAGAAATACGTTTCTTTTGAAGAGAGAGAGAGAATGGTAAGAGCTGCGACAATATTTGATTATACGAACTTAATATTCGGAAATTAAGAAAAGAAAAGAAACTTTCTATTATTGTATCTGAGTATTCGGACATTAAAAAAAAGAAACTGGAAAAATTTTCTTTTCTACATAACCAGCCTATGCCTATATATGGTAACATGCTTGAGCCATAATCATTCTAGATGAATTGCCAAAGGATCTTCAGTTGCCCAATTCGACAAAAAAAATGCGCTAAAACTTCAACCTCACGTCTTGATCTATGCGATCATCATCACCTTCGCCATCACAGTTGATCTCGCTAATGTTTGCCATCATCAGAAATATTTCTTGCAGTTGACATCTAAATGGAGGCCATGAATGTTTTCTCAATGAGAATGAGTGAAGGAGAGGTTGCTAAGTTTTAAAGGAAGAAAAAGCTCAAGTTTGTGGGGAGGGGATCTTCTAAGCATTTGCTTGAAGCATTAACTTGCTGACACATCTCTCTTCTTTAACTTTAATTATTTTTATGATGAATAATAAAAAGCATGGGATGTTTCTAAAGTGGAAATTTCTGCAATTTACGCTTCTGGCAGTTTTATGTCACATTGTGCCATCTCATTTTCATGTGGACTTTGTAGTCTTTCCCTTTCTAAACATGGGTAATTCAGACCAAAAAGAAAGATAAAACAAGATGTAATTTGCTTATGTGCCAAGATTGGTTTATTCTCCCCCTAATGATTAGAACTTGCAGTCGGTAGCTAACACAGTAGGTGTACAAGCGATTCACATCAAGGTCGCTCAAAGAGATGGCACTTTTGTAAATAAATTATAACTCAATTGACATTAAAATTTTCTTATTTTATGGAAAAACAAAGTAAATATTTCTTTGATAGGAAAAAAAAAAAAAACTAAACGATGGCATTTTTACGTGATTTTTTTGAGATGGTAAATCAATATCCAAAACCAATAACTTAAAGCAAACATATAAACTTGCATTTTATTGGTATTTTTCACAACACTAGAATTCTCGATATGTATTTCGTACGTATGTTATCTAATGATTTACTATTTTTTCTTAATTCCTAAAACATTATTTTAAAAGATTTATAAATAAATTTAGTAATTCATCAAACTAAACTATTCAGTATTTGAAATTCAAACAATTTTAAAGTTGAAGACGAGAAGGGTTTGGATTGCAGCTTTTGAAAAAATAAAATTTGCAGAATTTAGCCTATAACTCGAAGGATAAGCCATATATGAATTAAATAGTGTGTTTTGTATTCATAAATTTGAATTAATCAATGCATATACCATTATGCAGTAAGCGAATTCTCCGTTATTCCTGCAAGAAAAAATCAATCAATTGATTTTTTGTATATTCACATGTTCTTCAATAGGTTTTAAAATATATCTTGAAAACTTATAGAAAAATCATTTTTGATGAACTCTAAAAAATAAAAACCTTAGAGAAACCATAAAAAATAGAGGAAAACCATGAAAATTTGAATAAATTTGTCTATTGTGTAGCTGTGCAACGAATTAAATTGTATAAAAGGTCGTTAAAAACTAATCAAACGATTGATCAACATATCGAGTCAAGAATCGGGATTTATAGAACTAGTATTGTAACTTATAAAAATAACGATCAATCAATCATGAAGAAAATATGCAAATAGTGAAATATATTGTTTAATATGTGAGTGAGAAATATTTGAAAGAGAGAAAGTTCAGAGTTTTTTTAATTAGAAATCAAAAGTCAAAATCTTTTTATAAGGATGTCAAGCTAGTATTTATAGTGAACTAAACATAACATTTGACGGTTAGGATCATTTCACATCTTTAATATTTGGAGGATTAGATTTGAGTTTAAAAAAAGTTATAAAAATTATAAAATGAGTTTCATTGTAAATATTTTAGAAAACATATAAAAATTATTAGATATGCTGCAAAATGTAATTTTCTCTTTTATAAAAGCATGAGATTTATTTTAAAAATAAGTCTTAGATATTATGTTTTTGTAAAAAAGAAAAGGTATATAGGTCCTCTTAATTTCAATCTTCGCAAAAATAATCTATAACTCTCTCCCTTTCTCCACTTATCCAAAATCTCATAACATTTGAACATTTGTTTTTCAATTTAAATCTCCAGTGTCTTCACTACACGAGTAACAGAACCACAACAACTTGATTTTAGATCTCAACACGAAAGAATTCAAAATATTGTTAATAAAAAAAAAACAAAACAGTGAAACTCAAAACACAAGATCTTTAATTTTCAGATCTCAAACAAAAGAAATTCAGATCCTTATCAAAGACCTAGTTTTTTTTTTTTTTAAAAAAAAAAACCATTATATTTTAGGGCTGTTTTAGTGTGATCCACAATGATTGGGACTCTTTCTCTTTGATGGAAGTGGGTTGGATATTGTAACAGGTATGTGGCTGTGGGTTTCGAAAGGAGGCAGGTGGTGGCAAATTATGCAAGGATGTGAAGGCATTAGAGATCGTGTATGGAGATTATACGGTTATTGCTTGAAATTCAATATTGTCGGGGTTAGATTTGTTTGCTTGGATATACATATGGTAAACAATCTGAATTTGTAGAGAGAGTTTGGATCAATTAGCCTCCCATTAACACGATCGATCGACCCTTATTCCCTTTCATTTCTTATGCAAGGCAGGAAAGGAGAAGCCAATGAACAATGTTTCTAAGATAGGAACCCAAGTTGTTCAATACGTCATTCGTTCTATATTCTTTAACCTTCGTCTTTCGGAAAAGAAAAAATTAATCAAAATTATATTATATTTGATCGTGATTGAGTTTTTCAATATCGAGCTTTATTGAGTTTGATGTTGATAATAATATCCTTTTTTGTCCTGCATAAATGGAGAAAAAATACAGAAGTTAGTGATGCTGAAGTATCCAACAAAACCATTTCGATAATTAAATAATTTTATGCGTATTTTTAGAAAGATATTTTTATAAAAAGCATGTGTTCACTGTGTATTGTTTTTATTAAGCTTATGATTAGAGTTGTTGAAGGAGAGAAATATAACCCTAATATTTTTCTTATTGTTTTTTAAAAGTTGGCTTGAACTTTCTAAATGAAAGAAAAAAACCTTTGTATTTATAATAGAAAATAATGGGTATAAGAAGTATTTTTTGGAGCATTGGACTAAGTGACTATGTGATTTAAGGAAAAAAGCTGAGGATAGGGTGTGAGCCTAACTTCGGTGGATTTTATGAAATAGCTCAAAGCCCATGATAGCAAGAGAGCCTAACTTTAAGAGCTTAAATTCCATTTATCATCAATATTGATCATTTAAAAGTCAAAAGAGCCAATATAATTAGTATGGAGAAAAAAAAAAAACACAAATATCTATATATACAAGCTAAAAGAAACATCATCCGTTTGTCACTCATATCCAATATATAATCTCATTACGAGATTAGTGGCAAAACACTGAATTAAGGCCTCAAACTAAACCAATCATTTTCTTACCATTTTAATTAAACCAATCATTTGACGGCAGGAAACAGACTGAAAATGAAAGTTTCAGATTCCACCAACGAGGAAACAAGTCAAGAGAATCTCCTAATGCAGAGCGGAGACAGTCTGTTAACAACCAATTGTCTTAAAAAGAAAGCAAAAATGACGAGGTCTTTGCTAACTGAAATGCCATGTTATAATATTTGGACTTTACCGACGAGCCTACCAAGCCGGAGCCATCTGCTAGTGTGAAAAATGAATCGGTCACATCCTATGAAAAAAGAAACCCATTTGAGGTCGTTGATTCATCGCGTAAGCGCACATAACATGGGTCCAAGTACGCTGCGCACCGGCCAATGTATCTGATAGATTAGATTCTATAGCGATCTTTTTTTTAATTATTATTATTATTCAAGTGATATACGGCCCAAACGTCCTCTTCTCAATTGACCATTGATTAGTAGCCAAGCCTGAATCCAATTTATTATATTTTATGCGTTAGCCGGTTTTGATTCTCCTAATAACCAAGCAGAAAAAAAAATTAAGGAAACGAAGAACATTCAATATCAAAAAGATTTTATCTTCAAGAACCCTTCTTTCATTTATACCGGGATTGAAATTTAAGATTTTATTGATGGAAGGAAAAAAGGTTTAAAATACTTTCCGGATTCATTTTGAAAAAAAAAAAAAACTCCCATCCGATTCAAAAAAATGATTTTTATCTAAACTTACTTTTTTATATATCTATCTTTTTCATATAAAATAAATATTATTAGTTATTTTTAAACACTATAAAATTTCTATATAATAATTACGATCATATGAATATTTAAATATACTATTAGTTATACATTTGATATACGAGATTCAAACTCTCAAATGTTCTTTAAAGAATTTACTCGCCGTTGTATCTTTTGCTTCTTGTTTTTTTAGGTTATAATATCGTACGCATAATTGTTAGACCAAACTGGGGTATGTGCACACTTATTGCTTATTGTTGCAAAAGAATAAAAATAAAAAATAAAAAAGAAACACATGTGACAGTTGTAACTTCTAGAAACAAACACCTATTGCCGTTTGGTGATGATTGGGATGCCAACTCATCCAACTCCAAACCTTTATTCTCTACAACGGGCGCAATCATGAACTTAACGAAAAAACAAAAATCTATTCGAACACGTATCGTAAATTAAAAATTATGCACCAGTTGTCAGCGTTTGATTTGTAGCTGGAAGCCCACGGGCGGATCTTTTTTTATTTATGGAAAATCTCAAATTAGTCCAAGAATTACCACCCAATTCTCCATTTACTTCTTAATAACTTTTCCATAATTAAAATTGTAGAAATTAAAAAAATCTTACTAAGTCTACCATCCATATCTGCCATCAAATTTGATGTAGAGCTAATCTTATGCACAATATAAATATGAAATTTTTAGGAGAGCGATAGATATTTTTATTAAAAGTTTCATATAGCTTAATTATATGTATATTTATATTTTTATTCGAAGATATAAATAATTTTTATATCAATCGAAATTGTTTTTTTCAAATTATTTTAAAGATATACTTTTCGTACTAAAAATAAGGTTGTATTTAATTTCAAAAAATAAATTTATATTTTTATCTCTAGTTTTCTTATTTAGTCTAAAAAAGTTTTCTTAATAAAAAATTAAGGAAAAATGTTAACTGAGTACAATTTTTTTTAAATAGAAGATAAAAGTTTACCTTAAAAGTAATAAAGAAATTACATAAAACATTAGGTGATCTAAATAAGTCCTTTATTTTTTTATGGTGGAAAATTCAAGAAACAATTATTTTGATGTTTTAACAAAAAAAACAAATGAAAAATTATGAAAACACGTTAAGAAAATAGTTTCTATTTTCAATTAGTAAATGCATTTTCTTTAGTTTTTTTTTTCACAAGTAAACATGACCTAAATTCTTTGATACTGAATTCAAAATTTGAATTTAGAATATCAAAAGAGGAAGGATACCTAATTGAGTGTCGAGCTAATCCCTTAAGATTTATATTTTTTTTGAATATATGAATTAATAACTTAGCATATCTTGAAAAATCACCATGAAATGGTATGGTATGTCTTGTCACTGTTTAAAAAGAAAAAATGACTTCGATTTTAATTTGCATGTTGTTGTTTTTTTCCTAAAAAAAAAAAATGAAATTAGAAAAATATAGAAAAGAAATAAAGCAGACAAGGCGCATTGGCAGCAAGCAAACCCATGCTTATTTGTTTATAGTAGCTGTAGCCTGTAAGTGGAGAATTCTTAAAAATAATAAAAATAGGCTGCTCCTACTCTTCTTTCACAATTCCGAAGTATTTGCTAAAAAAAACCTTCTCTCTCTCTCCCTCGTCTCAAAGGTGTTCGTGAAGAAATCCCCATGGCCTTCCACATCTGACCTCTTGGAGACCAGCCCGCTTATCTCCCCCATTCTCTTTCTCTCAATATTTTTGAAGAATCGTGATCTCAAAGGTTTCTTTCCCCTCCCCTCTCTAACGCTGTTATTTTTCCTCAAATGTATAGATCTACTCTTATGTCCTTCTCTTTCCGGTTATTGATTTGGTAGCTGCAACTGCCGCTTCTTCTTCTTTTTCGTTTTTTGGTTGTGCAGAGAGGGTTTATATATTATTGCTATTTTTTTGTGGATTTTTCCATTTCAATGGCTGCTCCTCCTGCTAGAGCCCGAGCCGATCATGATTATCTCATTAAACTTCTCTTGATCGGCGATAGCGGTATGGATCTTTTTATCTCGTTGCTTTCTATTTTTTTTCAGGACCTCATGATTTCAATTCTTGTAACCTATTTCCTAATGTATGTTTCCACTTGATGCAAAGTTGAATTATAGTGTAGCAGATATTTTAGTTTTTTCATGTAAATTGTAATCCCTAATAGAGGTGAGACAGCAACATGCAATCTAACACGAATTGCATTGCTGATGTTTTTTTTGGGATCTTGTATCTATCAGGATTCGGTACTGTGTAGGAGGAGGGAGAGAACATGCTGCCTAATTAGATTGTCGGTAGTTAAGCTCTTTGTCTACCTCCCCTTCCCCACTCTATATATCTCCATTTATTGATTTGATGGCTGCTAATAGCTTATAAATGTCTGAAGAAAGGATTCAGATTCAAACACGTTGGCTGCTTGATGCCATGTTTTTTTCTTCTCGTGTTTGGTGCTGTTATGCGTTTTGTTTTGGAAATGTTGTCTCCATCACTCGTTTTGCATAATTGCTGAAGTTTGAGTTTATTCTGCAACTAATATTTCGCTTGAGATTTGATTCTTTCTTGTTGTTTGCCATCGCAGGTGTGGGCAAGAGTTGCCTTCTTTTGCGTTTCTCTGATGGTTCCTTCACTACTAGTTTTATCACTACCATTGGGTGTGTATTCCTTGCATTCTGGAATTAAAACTACGTTAATTGTTTTTTTTTTTTTTCCCATCTTGAAGAACTTCTCTAACCTCCCCAAGTTCATTCTCCATTATGCAGTATTGACTTTAAGATAAGAACTATTGAGCTTGATGGCAAAAGGATTAAGCTTCAAATTTGGGATACAGCTGGGCAGGAGCGGTTCCGAACAATCACAACTGGTATGTTTCCGTTTTTGCAGATGCTGGTATTTCAGTAAAGAAAGGGAGAGGGATATTTGTGAAGTCTGCTCTACTTATTTTAGGTTTGTCACATTTTATATTGCGCATGAAGAAAATCAAACTTGCATGTTTAACCTGGGAAGTGTTTTTTGTGATGGGGGAGAGATTTTCTTTTATTGTTAATTTTTGGGTGGGTCTGGGGGTGGTTGAATGAACTTTTATATGCAAAAATATGCAATCAAATGTGGACATTCACAATATGCAACCTCCTGTTAGCAACCCTTCTTCGAGGAACATCCTCTCAATTAGTACTGATATGAATGGCTGAATTGGCATCAGGGAAGCCTAGAGGTCTGATGCATGAATTGCATCATGGTATCTCTTATGTTTTACACCTGCACTTCACATACTAGTTCATGACTCTTCGTCTACTGCATCGTGTATGTGAAGGAGGTTGTTACATTGGCTAGAATCATAGCATCAAACTAAATTTTTACTCTGGGAATTTCTAGGACGAGCCTGTATACATAGGTTAGATCTTAGATCATAATCATCAATACCCATGGCATTTGGATTTTGTACTTTATAGATCTGTTTTCCGGAATTGTTATCTATGTTGTCTGTCTTGCAATTGTTGTAAGATCATTTGTGCTTCATTTCTAATTCCTGTCCCTGGAAACTCATTCCGTGTCAGCTTACTATCGTGGAGCCATGGGCATTTTGCTGGTCTATGATGTTACTGATGAGTCATCTTTCAACAGTAAGTTTCTATGTTCTCAATTGATCAAAACTTTAGATTCTGTACAGATTTTAAGTGGAACAACTTTTGCTTCTCTGAATATGCTGTTTGGATTTCCCTCCATTGCTAGTAGCACCTTCTCCCGCACCTTCTTGTCTGCTTTGGCTCGTTTGTTTTTTTTTTTTTTTTGGGTGACAAGTGTAGTATTTGGGAAGGTGTCATTGATTTTTAACCGATCTGTTTCCTTTAATATATGCACCCTTTTTGTTTTAGATAATTTTTTTATGAACCTGGCTGATCACCATTTTCAGACATTAGGAATTGGATTCGCAACATTGAGCAACATGCTTCTGATAATGTTAACAAGATATTGGTAGGGAACAAGGCTGACATGGATGAAAGCAAACGGGTATGTTAGTCAGATCTTTAATCAATCAATACCAGGCGTTAAATTGCTTTTGATTGCCATTTTCCAAGTCTTGCTCGTGTATTGTATCTTAGTTGCATTACCAAGGTTGTTTATCTATCCATAGATTTTAGCACACAGATTTTTTTTTCTCTGGGCATATCCATAACAGGAAAAAATTACAGTGCTCTAATGGAAATTGTAGTTTTAGCAATTAACCTCGTTGTTTCTCCCACGCGGGTGTGGATGCTCATCTCAATTTGAACCACTGTGTGATTCGTAACCCTCATTATTTCCTGTTTTCATTTAGGCTGTGCCAACATCCAAGGGCCAAGCACTTGCTGATGAGTATGGGATCAAATTCTTTGAAACTGTAAGTAACTTGCAGAATTTGAAGCTAATTGAATTAGTGTTGGTATTTATTGAAAAATATGTGTATTACAGAGTGCAAAAACGAATCTAAATGTGGAGCAAGTTTTCTTTTCAATAGCAAGGGATATAAAGCAAAGGCTTGCCGACACTGACCCTCGGGCTGAGGTATTTGAATTTCATAAACTACTATTTTGAATTTGAAAGAGAGGGACTTTTCTATGAGAATGCTCTTTAACCGTTTGAACATTTTTGCTTGGATTGTGAACTGCAGCCTACAACAATTAAGATTCAACCAGACCAGGCGTCTGGATCAGGTCCAGCTGCCCAGAAATCAGCTTGTTGCGGTTCTTAAAAGCAAATCATTTCCTAGTGGGGGCATGAATTACGGGTGACACTGTTGTTGGAAAAAAGGGGAAAAGAGATGGGCAAGAAATAATTCTCATGACAGAAAAACAGTGGGCTTGTAATTTTATCTTATGGCCATTCTTTTCAATCTTGTTTTAGTGTGTGAAATTGCAGTTTATCATTATACAATATTATTTGTGTCAAACAATTGGGTCTCTTGTGGCAATATTTTTCCCCTTTTTTTCCGTCACTTTCTTTTCTTTGTATGAGTTTTGTCCTGGCTTTACTGTTAGTTTGTTTATGATGCAACAAGACAGTTATGGTTTCCCGGCTTCCAGTGGTGTACTGGAATTGCAAGAAGACACCACCATACGCACTCAGGATATATCTGGTGTGCCCTTTGAGTATCTTGCTCTGTCATTTATCTGCCCCTTTTGAGTGAAGGCTTCAAAATTAAAAAAAAAAAAAAATGCCAGGAATAAAGTCACCCTTCTGATTGTTCGAAACATGAAAAAAACTCGGGAGAATATCTCATACGAGCTCTGGGAGTTGGTGAGGTTGTGGAAATTCATGCCTGATGATGAATTGTCAAAGCTAGCTTCTGGGGAATATAGAAATTAGATTCCAGCACTCGATTGGAAAGTTTGACCGGTAACTGGACAGCAGCAAGTAGACTTAAATGAGTTGCTGGCTATTCGAGAAGCATCAAGCTGCTTAGGTCTATATTCAGATTTTCAAAATGAAGATAACTTGAGCGTTGCATTGACCACTGATAAAACAAAACCCCAATTTCCGTCTGCTCTAATACAAGCCAGAAGTACTGCAAAAGCACTCAACAAGGTTTACAACTTGCCCTGAAAATGGCCCAACATACTATATAGGTCTGATCTTAAACTTGTGACCTTCAGAATATCCATCAGTCGGTGCACCCATGCATGTCAAAATTTCTCCCAAGCATTCCAGGATATGACATAAAATAGTACAGAACAATGAAGAACAAGTTTCCCGCATGGTTGCATAAGGCTAAAGCACAAAATTATCAACTATTATCCATAAATTTCCAGTAAGAATGCCTGTTCAATTGTCAGTATAGCATCTGAGGTTATTGTGTCACAAGTAATTTACATAGGGGCGTTCCCTAAACCCTTGGTCTATTAAAACCTTGATTCTCTTCCCTTTGGTTTCTTAGTTCCACTGTACTTAGGCAACTCATCTCACTGATTCGTAATCAAAACACCAAGTTTCAAATAAATTAGTCGTCATTATATAACAGAAAGCATCACTTGACGAGGGAAAAAAGAAGGGAGTTAGAACGGAAGTACTAGCAAAATTATCAAATGCTAGTCATGCTAGTTTCCATGCACCCTGCAAGCAAAATAATGCTTTACAGATTTAGTTCTTCCTTCCCATAGATACGCTGGAGCTCCCGAGTGGCAGCTTGGTATGATTCTGAGAAATGCAGGGGAGGGGAAAATAGAAGGGAGTTAGAATGGAAGTACTAGCAAAATTATCAAATGCAAAATAGTTAAAATTTTTAACTCTTCCCCTTCTATTATAAGAAAACAAGGGTAATAACTATAATTTATATTAGTTTCTAACACACCCCCTCAAGTGAAAGCCCAACATTTGAGTTTGAAACTTGCACATGATCCACATTGTCTTGTACTTAATACTTGAAAAATTGAGAATGATTAGACTTGAACTCAGGACCACATGGTCAACCAAGCTCCGATACCATATTAAAAGACCATCTCACCTAAAAGCTTAAGCTGATAGGTGAGGCCTTACAATATAATTTATATTAGTCTCTAACACTAAGGGTCTTTAACCAAGGCAAAGCTAACAGCCTTGCACTTGCAATCAAGAGACAGCAAGTTCCAGATTTGAGCAAGTTACTTCATGCAAAATATCTAATACAGATGGCTGTCTCAAGAGCTCCTTTATTCATTGATACCATAAACAAATGAATAATTGTATTTTACAAGTGTGCTTGTATGCACAATGAATGAGTGTTCCAGCCTTTAAAAAAATCTAAATGTATACAAGGTAAAGAGTCAAACAAATATTTCCATTACCTTTCCAAATGCGAAAGGATTTCTGGTTAATAGGTGCACCAAAAACAGTTTGAATTACGTCAAATAACATGCTTTCAGGAGTACTCCTTAATTCTTGTACTATCTGATAGATAGTTTTTCCATTATCGAAGTATATATGATTGTTCGGATGTTTTGTCTTGCAACCAGCATGGCGTTCGAACTCATACGCATTGAGCACCTTGCACCATTTATAAAGCAGATTAGTAGCGTTTGAAGAATTCATCCAGGCAAAGACTAAAGCCAATAAACCCTTACCTTGGAATAATTACATGACTGGCACCCACAAAGATAGCCAGAACCTTTTATAATGCCTCGAAGCTCCTTGTTACATGCAGAATACAAGCACGGTCACCAGATTGAAAATACAACAGAAAGAAATGGAGTGATTTTTTATCAGAAAAAAAATGGACCAAAAATTAGAAGAAATTTACCTCACGTGACAAGGAAACATACTTTACAGGGACTCCATCAAGCATACCAGTTGATATCAAACTTCTGACATTTGAAGGAAAGCTGTTTGGAGCTTCTTTTCTCGTAGTTTTCAACTCTGGTCTGTTCTTAGGAACAGCTTCAGATTTGGATTTAGTTGCCTGAGTATTACATGCAACTGCCTTGACATTTGTAGCACCCAGCTCTTTTTGACCAACTGCTTCTTGTGTTTGAACTGAAGATTGATCAAAAGAGTGGTCATAACTGCTGATTGGCCTACCAACAGGTATAATATCATGTGCATCATCAAATCCTCCAAAAGATAATAGATTGGTGTCCTCCTTACTATATGTGTCACTTATTGGAATGGCACTGTCATCAACTTTGATGTAAGTGGGACTTGTTGACCCAACATGGGCATTTTCTCTATTGTAGGTGTGACCCATCATTGTGACATTGTTATGCTCCTTATCAAATGCTTGCCCCATCGATATAAAGCTACTTTCACTTTCCCCATTGAAGGCCTGACCAGTTGAATTGTTACTGTCACTTTCAATTGTGAAACCAGGTCCCTTCGGGACATGCATAACACTTTCAGAGTCCTTAACCTGATTTACTTTAACTTTTCTAAAACCACCGTAGTTAAGACAGGCTTCAGGATCTCCCATAGCATGAGATATGGACAGGCTAACAGATGCATTTGAGTCACCTGTCCCAGCAGGGTATAAATTTCTTTCAGCAAAATTGACAGACCTTGCAGTTTCAGCCCCAAATAACCGGTGAATAAACTGGTTTGGGACAGACTGAAAACCAGAGGTGTTATCCCAAGAAGGAACATTTGCACTGGAAATTCCAGAAGTTGTGGCGCTGTTTGGAGTTTGCACTGCTTGCTTCTTGTTAGGGAACAACTCAGGCTCCGCATCATCTATAAACCACTGATGAGATCGTTTAGATTCAAGCCTGGAAGGATTCTCAAATGCTGGATCTCCATCTGTACCCTTTGGCATCCAAAATCCCTTGTTCTAGTACACCCACAATGGAACAATTATTCCAAGGGAAAGAATTCATATTCAGCACCAAACTATTATTCCAACATAGCTTTAAAACTCTCAAAGTATCATTGTCTTTGACTAACAGCCACAAAACCAAAACACAATTTGGGAATATTGTCATCTTAAAACAATTATCATAAACAAAGAGTCCACATATTCAAATTTTACTCCTCAGAAAGATAAAATCATCAGCAATTTCATTTACACAAAGCGGCAGGCAACTAGATATGAACTGCAACTCCAATGAGATGACAACAAATGCCTCTGGGATGCAGCAAATTTAGGAAATTATGTGTTTCTACTCGGATCATCAAGCAACCAATTGGGCTGATTAAACAGCATACGCATGCAAATTCGTCGCTAATATGCCAAGCAATCCCTCTATACTCTAAAGTTGCTAATTTCAGTTGATAAAAACACAACCCCTTTTCACAAAATATTTACTTCGCTAACCATTACTACTAGCATTGCATGCATGGTAAGAATTCATCTATAAGCACACAGAAATTATTGGGTACTCTCCTCCACTTATATGAAAGTGGAAACCATCACGATAACTACATATGGGTTCCACTTTTATGCTAGTTAGAGACTAATACACCAGGCACCGGGATTACCATACATACCATTTTGCTTTGCTTCTCCGGAGTTTCACTCTTCTTTCTTCAACAGATCATTTCCAACCTTTAGCATAAAATTTGGAAAAAATCAAAAAACAAAATAAGTCGTTCCAAGCTCAAAGTCACAGACTTTAAAACCCCAATTAGATAAGAAAACCTAACCCTAGAAAAGCGAGATTGGAGTTTTTGACAAACCTTAGAATCTTTACGATGGTTGGGAATCTGACCGGAACGTTGACTTTTGGTCAGCTGAATTTTTTAACAAAGCGTAATCGGCGATGAAAATCGAAAATAAATAGTAGTAAAATTTTAGTAATTTAGACGAGGGAGGGAGGAATTTTGGTGTTTTGTCTGAGGAGCACTCGATTTTTTCCCGTGATAGGGGATTAAAAATGGGCTACACCTGCATTCACGGTTACTTTCTTCTCGGTCGTACACGTGTGCTTGAGCTTATCGAACAGACACCGTTCATTTGGTAAAACGGTTTTGCGCAAGGGGTTTTTGATCTTTTCATTTCGAGGAGAAACGGGAATGGGTAGACTTCATGGTACATATTCACCAACGTTTTAAATCTACCCCTTAGTTTAATAATTTTCAATATTACCTCTGTATTTAGTAAAAAAAAATTGAGTTTGATTATAACAATAAATATAGTAAAATTAGAGTTTTTTAATTAAGTTAGATAAAAGTAAAATTAAAGAATCATAATAGATAAAGATAAATAAGATTATAATTTTATAGTCCATGTCGAATTTTTTTTTTTCGTATTATCTTTGTCTAGTGTGAAACTAATTTTATAAAGAGAGATTAGCCTTGTACGACCGATCCTAAACTAGTATAAATAAAAGCTTAATGCTTATAGAGAAACAATATTTTCATGCTTGAGAATTAATAAAATACTTGAGAAACTATTTTCTAAACTCTTGAATCCTAACCTTATCAAAATCATCTAAGTTTAAATCTTAATAGGTTTGACAATCTATATAGTTAAGCATTTACTTGTTATATTATTTTATTACACTTGAAATTCGATTTAGACTAAAAACTTGACGTAATTTTAACTTAACATTAGAGGGGTTTAAAGTTATCCGATTAAGTTCAATTTCGGACAATAGTTTCATATATCTCTTAACTAGATTCTGTCAAATTTTTAAATCATTCCTATCTAATTTGCTTTGTGTACACATATCTTTTTTGTGACTTGTCTACTAAAATTTTTTGTTTGTATTGAATTTAAAATCTACTTTTTAATTTCGTTCATTGTAAATCAAGATTGAAACTTTCATATCATCTATCAATTTCATGAGTCCATTAAAGGATTAGAATTTGGCAGTATATAAAAATTAGCTTAGGATTATTGAGTTTGTTTCAATTCTTTACAAAACGATATTAATTAGAAACAAAAATCAAATCCTTATCAAAAAGGAGAAAACTCCAATAAGTAGAAAAACAAATCCCAAATGAAACGGAGAACCAACCCTCAATAGGAGGGAGGGGTGGCAAAAAATACGAAAAAAATATATATAGATTCAATATATATATATATATATATAGTATATACATATATATATATATATATATATATATTTTGGTTGCATAACTAAAAAAAATCTAGAAATGTAAAGGGGAAAAAAAAAAAAAGAGAAGGAAAAGAATAATTAAGAAAAAAAGAAGAAGAAAAGATTTCGGCTAACCGCTGACCAAAGCTTGCGAAGCAATGGCCCGGTAAGATGAGAGGGAGGAAATTTTTTTTTTTTTAATGGTAAATTTATATGTCATTTTATCCTTTGAAATTTCTATACATGAAATAACGTCTAGTAAAATACTTAAGAACTTAAAAAATTAAAATCCAAGAAAATGGACTCATCAAATTCATTAGCTATTTAATGGTAAAATGTAAAATTGAAACTTTTTAGAACCTATAAAAAGTAACATTGAGAAATATTAAAAATACAGGATAGAAGCAGAATATTGATAAATCTATAAGGACTAAAATTTAGCTTACCCAAAGAGAATCTGAAACGCCTCGGGCCCAAGATCAACTAAATTTGTACAGTTTTTCCTTTTCAAATCTACTGACAAATCATATTTTGACAGGTGTCCCCGGGTGATTCTCGGAGTGCAAAGCAAACCTGACCGACATGTCATTCAACCACCTGGGGTTTTCAAAAAGACTTGCCGCCTCTTGCCTTAGCATGGAGCAGACACATGGTCGGTGATGGTTGTCCGTTGGGTTTCTGGGAGTAATGCGAGTATTTATAAGAAGGTTTAGGTTTGGAAGACTCCCCCTTGCACCTAGTTTCTTTCTTTCTTTTTTTATTTTTTTTCTGTTTGATCATAACCCTTGTACGACGTAAATTAGGACGCCCTGATCAGAACAAGAAACATGATGAGCAGACCAGGAGACGGGAATCCTTCTCAAAACAGCGATCATAAATCTCAACAGAAACAAAAACCAGTAAGTTTAATTGAAGAACAACAATCCAAGATGCAGCAGCAACAATATTGGCAAGAGCATGACTTACAATATCCAGCACAGGCAAAACAAATTCACGCGGCTAACTTTGAATATGAACAACAACGATGGCAGAAATTACTTAATCAACTATTGGCACAACAATCAGGTCATGGATTTGAAGGACCAAGACACTATTATGAGTCAATGACGCCAGACGAAGCTTACGCCTTTAATTGTTATTACAACTATTGTCGTCAGCTATTACAATATTATTATCATCAACAACAACAAAGGCCCCAGCAGCAACAGCAAAGTCTACAAGAAAGTAGTAACATGAATCACTGCCGCTCCCTCACATCTTTCTTAGATTGTGAAAACACGTTTTTAACACCATGGAGTTGGAATTCTCAAGCTCCCAATATTGGAGAAAAACAGAGCATGCACTTCCAACCTGGTTCATTCTTTAGTTACGACGTCAGTATTGATAATTTTCAACCTTTTTCTTTTTCTTTTTTCCCTTTAATTACAAAGATTAATTGTAGTTTATGCTAATTAGTGTTTTTCTTCTTCTTCTTTTTCTTAATAGATACCGTCTCAGCGCCCTAAAAGCATTCAAGGCAATCCGAGAGTTCAAAGCAACCATAGATTTTAGGTCGCGCGTTTATGTTTTTGCAATGCTATTTTTGTAGAGTCCTATGAATAAAATTGATTTCACCAATTTCATACACATTGATGAGGTGAAAATTTTAATTGCTCTCAGTTTTTTAATTAATACTATAAATTGCATGGTATGATTTAATATTTTTATTAAACTAGGATTTAGTTTTTTAAAAAATAATAGTGTAACTTCAATATCATTAATTATAAACTTTTCAACAGCTCCAGAAAACTTGATATAAGTTGATTTGTTATCAAACTCAATTTTCTTACTTGTAGCGTAAAATATATATATGACACATGAATTTTCAATTAGAGTTTATGTTGTTTTTTTACGTATAATCGAAGAATTGGTCCAAATTTTAATCATTTTTAAAAATCTCTTGACTATGAGATCCCTAAGTGTTACTACCGAACCTCAATTGATTTATGTAAAATAAAAAATAGATAAATTAAAAAGTCTTCTATTTCTCCCTCTTCAAATTTCGTCCTTTTCAAGATAACGCATTTTCTTGTTTACTTTTTCTAAACTTTCAAATGCTTATATTTAAGTAAAAAGAAAAGTCATGTAAAGACCAATTACCTTAACCCCTTAACCATCTACCCTGCCTCCATCCCACTGATTCTGACATAACCTTTTTTTTAAAAAAAATTAAAATATTTCAGATTTAAAAATTTAAACTAATTTTTTTATTATCTTGTCTAACGAATAATACAAGATGAGAACAATTATTCAAAAAAAAATTTATATATATAAAAATTTAAATCTCAAAATTATTTATTTAAATTATTAAAATCTCTTATGTTCAAACAAATCTTTTAAATCCGATACTGTTATTTACCATCTATTCTAGTTAGAACTTGTCTGCGAGCCATCTGAGGGCACTTGATCCATCTTGATTTGATTCTTTTGTTACTTGGTCTTAGTGCGATCGTTATGTTGGTCCCATCTCATCTCCCAATTCGTCCCTTCCCACGCGATCTTTAGATCATCTAATATCTAGCTTAGTAGCATATAATTTGCAATCAAAACGCGTATTGTAATTAATGAATCATTCAATCTTATGACACAATTAGGAGTAATTAAAAAATAAATATAATATATTTATTTCATAAATCTATTTTGAAGAGAGAAATATATACAAAAAATAAAAATTTTATATCTGTACTTACAAAATAAAAATATTTTTATCTAAACTAAAAAATATTTTTTTTAACTCTTTCTCTTATGTTTTTTTCTCTTTTCTTCATGTCTATTTTGAAGAAAAAGACAAATATATATATATATATATATATATATATATATATATATATATATATATATATATATATATATATATATATATATACACTTCAACTCACTAAAAATAATAAAAATATTTCTATCTAAATTATATATATATTTTTAATTCTTTCTTTTTCGTAGATATCTTTCTTCCTATTTCATTTAATTAAACATATTCTTACCGTAACTAATTAGATTCTTAATAACCTGAAAGTTTCTATCCAACTAGATTGCTTCATATCAACCTATGCTAATGGTGCAAAAGTTTTTTTGCATTTTTTTAAAATAAACTAGCATTTGAGCCAATTATCTTAAACTATTACTTAATTAAATAGAAAATAATCCCCAATACAAAAAAATAAAAATAAAATATATTAGGGGAACTTGAGCATGGTATTGCCGGGTTTATTAACGACTGCAACAAATTAAAAAAAGAAAATAGAGTACAAAGTCGTAGGGACAGTGGAAAAGGAAAACCAAAAACATAAAACAAGCTACCTACTACACTCGTCAATAAGAAATTCCGCCAACTAGAGCATCAACATATGACGATTAGTGCCAGTATAGCTTTGCTCATTTCACAAACCAGCATCCAAGAAACTTCGTTATTATAAATCTACAAGAAAAATATATACCTGCATTAATTGTAAAAGCTACCAAAAAACATATATAACTAGAAGTAAAAATTAACAATCTATTTACAAGGTCAATCAATCACTAAAAGTGACAAGAAAATCTCAATCCATAGAAATTATTAAGTCAATTTGGTTTATACTAGCAATTAACAGCAAAGAAAATGTCATTATTCTATTTAGCCATATTACAAAACACATTCATTTTTCTCCCTCTCGTTATATATATATATATAATTGTTTTCTTTTGTAATCTAAGTTATTGTTTGTTTATTTTAAAGGATTTTTCTTTGTTAACAGAGAAGTCTATTGAATTTTAATATATATAAAGGATTTTTCTTTGTTTTTTTGTTTTGTAATCTAAGTTATTGTTTGTTTATTTTAAAGGATTTTTCTTTGTTAACAGAGAAGTCTATTGAATATATATATATATATATATATATATATATAGAATGCAATCCTTTTCGTTATAAAAAAATAATCAAATAAACTGAAGTTATAAAAATTCAATTTTGTTTCACTGAAAAAATTATCAATTGTAGAATCACTAATTCACTATGTTATGTCTAGCTATATATTTTAAAGATGATATATAGTATGACTAAATAAGATGATAAAAACTCTTTTAATTAATTAAGCCATAATTTTCAATATTGATGAATTCTTCTACCAACTAGTAACTAGAAGGTTTTTTTTTTTTTTTAGAAGCTCCAGCTACGCTATATATATATATATATATATATATATATATATATATATATATAGGCTAGGGAGGACAATCACCTTAAAGCCACCCCCACTAGTCTGTATCGAAGATTACAGAAAGTTACAGAAAAAAATTAAAAGAAATGCAAAATAAGGTGCAAAAATCAACTATCGCCCCCCCCCAAAAAAAAAGATAATAATAATAATAATAATGTCTGTATACAAAACAAATGAATGAATCTGATAAGTACAAAATCCCAACTACGTAGTCGTAGAAGTTGGTAATGAACAAAAAATAAAAATAAAAAATTATGTCCAAACTCTAAAATCAAAGCCTAGATAAAACATTTGAACGGGAACTGCGGCTCATCCTGATCCATAGGCAATGCCAAGCTCAAATCCAAGCACAGAACTCTCTTGCTACTATTCGATTTCTTCAAAACTGGGACGTCATAAGGTACGAATAAAGGCGGATTAGTCACAGCCAATTCATGATGATCAGTACTACCAGTGGTGGTATCGATATTATTAGCCCTATGCCTCCTCATATGACCTCCAAGCGCTTGCCCAATAGGAAACTCAAGGCCGCAAATGGAGCACTTGTGATTTTTTGGCTTTGGAGGCGAATTGGGCAACTTCAACAAGTTCCCAGCTGATCCCATAAGTTTTGGTTTCTTGTGACTTGCACGGTGCCCTCCTAATGCTTGAAACGAAGGGAAATTCTTGTTACATGTTTTGCATGAAAATAAGCGGCCAGCCCCGGCCGTTGCTGCTGCTGCTGCTGCTGCTGATTTATAAGTAGTTAGTAGCTCATGATCAGCTTTGCCAACTTTAGAAAGTAGCATCAAGCATTTTGCAATGTCTACCTCTCCCTCTTCTCTACCTCTCTTCATGGTCATGATAACTGGTAATGAGCAACAAAGTTTAAACTACGAAAGAAGAAGCAAGATGTCTGGTGTTTGAATATTTGATGGATGGAATGGAAGTAAGGGACTACATCAGTTTGTATTTATATTAGGTGGATCGAGCTGGGAGTACTGCCGAGTAAGCACTGACGTCTTGGATTGAGTGGCGATTATGCCCTCAATACTTGTGGGATAAGGAAATTGAGAGCGTGTGGTAGACTAGTAAATATGAGTGAAATAGAAGGTGAGCGTGTTTGGCCGCCGTAATTGATACGTTTGCGTGACCGCGTTGAGCAAACTTGGGGAGGGGGAGCAGGTCCAGTCCTTGATAGTGAGCCATTGGGAGTCTTCCTTCCTAAAGTTCTTCAGACCCATATGTTGACGAGTCTAGAAACTTAGTAGGATTAAAATAAAGTAGATCTTACCAATATGTTGACTATTTTAAGAATCTTCTAGCGTGCATGACACCGACTTAAATATGTTCATGTAAAAACACAATATAAATAAATATTGGGAATTGTTTGGTGTTAGGGTATGCCGCCGAGTTTCAATCAGGATATCTTTAAATTTTATTTATCCGACGTTTGGTATCAAAGAATTTTCAATTCTTTTTAATGTTCCAAAAACTTATGTTTGATTTATTAAGAAATATTAAAATTTTAAATTTGACATTTCTTCTTGATGTCCTTTTATAATGAAAAAAAATCTCATTTCTTAGAATGAAAAATATATTAAAAAATAAGTCATTTATTAAAAAGCATCAGCTATAAATATTAAATGGACAGATATATTTTGTTTTTTTAATAATGCAAAAGTATCTTATTTTAGTACTAAAATCTTTAATATATATATATATATATATATATATATATATATATATATATATATATATATATATATATTTGAGAAATACATGTTATGTAATTATTAATTAATAAATTAAGTTATTCGATAGTTATAATTTATATAATATGGATGTGCTTATAGACATCATTATTTATAAAAAAAAAAAACATTATTTTATCAAATTAGATATTTTAAACTTTAGAAATAAATAATAATTTTTTTCAAGTTTTTCATGAATTTCTTAATATAAATCAAATACTTCACATTTCCAACAATTACTTCTCATGATAGCATTTAAGATTTTGTATAGCAAATGCTCCAAATGCCCCTTATAAGGACTGATTTGTTCAGAAATAATTACATATTGATAAATAATAGCATCATTTTTATCCTAAAAAGCACAATCAAATGTAATAGCAGTTGCTAATGAATTTGCCGCGTTTGGAAAACGCGGGAACAAATTGACTCCGAGTATAAAAGCAAGCGAGAAAGGTTGAGTTAGTTAATTACTATAAATCAGCAAGGAGGGAAAATGTAGAGGGCATAATGTCACGGAATTGGTCTTTTTCAAGCTCACGTATGGTACTTGACTCTCTTCTTCTCTAAGACAAACTAAGTCGGCCTTCTTCACACAAAGTTGCTAAACAAGAAAGACACATACAAGAGATATAAATACTCTTTGTATTGCTTTTTAAAAGCTTACAACTCTAAAGACACACTCTCTTAAGTTTATAAATGTTTAGGTGTTTTGGCCAAGTGAAGGTCTCACCTATTTATAGCCTTCCACCTCCTAAATGGATGGCTATGATCTATTTAATCTAATGATTACAATTGGTTCTCTATAAATATCATATCTAGATATTTACAAGGAACTATCTAGATATACACATGTTAGATTAGTGAAGAACTCTCTAGAATTCTCTATATCATTTTAGAAACTTCTTCAATGCTCCGTTTTCTTCAGAAGCTTCTAGCCTTATCTAGAGGCTTCTCCTTTACTCTATATTCTTCAGAAGCTTTCGTACTTATCTAGAGATTTCTTCATTATTTCATACTCTTCTAAAAACTTCTAAACTTATCTAATATTCTCTAGAATATCTAAAAAAATTCTTTTTTCAGGCGAAGCGGAACAACAAGGAGGCTTCCTAGTAAAATATTCTACGCGGTCCACCAAGTTCAGTTCGTATCAACTTTCTTATTTTCACACACTTTCTGATTTCTACCAACTAAAAGCTAAGCGGGTGTGCTTGTGCATCCTATTTTCACAACTACTTTAAAGTTGAAACACATGTTCAAGGCTGAATTATGGTCTATAACTAAGAGCTTGAATAATAGATTGGAATCTTTGAATTGACGGACGTTTAGAAGGATTTGAGAATTGGGCGAGAGAACTTGTAGATATCCAGGATGCGTCATTCAAAATCCATATTTTTTTGTGATATATGCTTAGAAGGCAACTGGAATTGATTTTCGTTTCAGTGTATACAAATCAGTCCAAATAAACTCTTATTATCCATAGCCAAAGAAAATTAAGGAGTTAATTTTATTTATATTTATAAATCTCATATCTGGACTTGTATATTTACCAGAAATCCCTTTTTGTAGCTTCTGTTCTGAATTCGAACCAGAAATGAAAATAATGGTAGCAAAATCAAGAATTTATGAAAGATAGGTTTTTTATTTATTTACCTGCAAAAATAAAAGAAGGAATATACATACGACACAAATTTGTTAATTCCTTTTCAATAAAAAAAATTGAAGTTATTCATAACTTTGCAATTGCAAGCGTCTAAATTATACTTTAATTTGTTAATAGTGACATACAATTTTGACTTGGCGATAGTTCTGTCGTGAATTTATTTATGGTCAGACTTGTACGTGGCGGTCCTATCTATAGTTAGCCGCCACTAGCACCCCACTGCCATGAAGAAGCAAATTACTTGCCACTTTTGAACAATTCCACTACCATTAGACGCAAAGTCATTGCCACTTTTGAGTATTATATAATTCTTATATTATTAGTTGTATGATTTTGACAAAAGCTGAAGTTAAAAAAATTAATAAGAACAGTACGGTAATAAAAAAAATAATAATAGAAATTAACAAATATAGTGGGAGAAAAATACTCTGGCGCCGGCCATCAAACTCGTATTTCTTTGAAGTTAGAGAGAATTGATCCTCTTGTAACTTTACCTTTGTTATTATTATCTGGCATTTGTATTTCAATTTTGGAGGCATTTCTAATTTTTATGTGCATTAAACTACAGTCGTATCATATATTTTTCTTATTTTATACTATTCTTTCATTTTAATATCATTTTTTTTATTTTGTTTTTCTTTAGATGAAGATAAAACCTCATAATATGTCTTTTTATAAATTAAAACGCGAAAGACACTACGATTTTTTTTGTTTGTTTATTTTTTATCTGTCGGAAAAAGAAAAAAATCTATTATTAAATTCAATGCAATATTAAATAAATAATTTAAAATTTAAAATTAAACAGGAGTTTTTTTATTACATCTATTGATCTTATATAATAAATATCAATATAAATTATCTCTTGTTTTAAAATTAAAGAAATATATTTTAAATTCCCTCCATATCCCATTGTTTATTTAATTAGAGCTTTTGTAGTGTTCTTCGTGCATGGATCAAGCAGAAGATGTAATAAAAATATATATATAAATTACATCTAGCTTTTGTTTATACTACTCTTCGTGCATGTATCAATATAAATTATCTCATGTTTTAAAATTTTGTTTTAAAATTTTATTCTAAATTTAAATATACAGAAAATTAAATTACATCTATCAGCAAATAAAATTTTATATATAAAAATATTAATTTCATGAAATTTTTCATAAGAAATGATAAATTTTAAAAATAAAATTTAAATAATAAAGGTAGTATAATTTAAAATATATATGATTTTAAAATATAAATTTATAGTATATATATTTTATTCTCATCAAGCTACAGGAAAATACAAATAGTAACGTTTAATATTCCGTAATTGTTTCTCAAAAATTCTTAATTAAAAAAATCAAAGGAAAAAAAAGGAGCGGGCGAGCTTTCCTGGCCCTCGCGGACCAGGCCCGTGTGGCTGGGTGTGAACCAAATCATTGTTTGCCAGCCTAACAGACTTACAGAATCAACATTGCTCCAACCCCAGATCCACCTAATCAAGTTATGATTAGACAAATGCAAATACATGCGAAGTTGATTATATATATATATATATATATATATATATGAAGCATTTTTTTTTCGAATTAGGGTTTTTTTTTATATCAAAATATAATATTTTTAAACTTATTGTTAGAGGAGGACAACTGTCTTGTGGATTTTTATTATCCACGTCATCTTTTCATTGTCAAACACATTTTTTGATTGCCAGTAATCCTTTGTTTAGACAATTGGAGTGCTGAAACTTCATTTATGCTTAAATTAATTTTTAACATTAGAGGAAATCTAACTTTGATTATAATACCTCCAATCTCGTCAATTAAAGCAGGAAGAAAAAAAAAACGCGAGAATAACCCAATAGTCCTAGGCCGGAGGCTGATGCCTTTTTTTATGACTATCAGATTCCACAGCAATACTCTCAGAAGACTACGATACCATTGGTCATTTTCTTTTTTTCTTATATGATTATCCAAGTTATTGATATTTCATCTCCTATTCCAATTATAAAATCTTCTGTCGGATTTTCAAAGTTGATGATTTGATAAGATTAATTGGAATCGATGGAGGACCAGACCCCACGCCTGGGCTTGGCTGCTCAGGCCCGCACGGGGCTGGCCAGGAAATGTCTTTTTATTTTTCCGGCAACACTGCAACCCCGAATCACTGAAAAATCGGGGTTTTTCAATTTTCAGTCTTTCAAAATCAAAATTTGTTCCCTTTTTATTCAAAAATTCTTCAAAATCACAGAAATAACGTAAATAAATCTGTTTAAAGCATCAATAAAGAATTTAATTCACATAAAACTCACAAAAATTTAAATCAAAATAAAAAAACTCAAAATTTTTTTAGATTCCAACCTACCTCATCATCATCATCGCTTTCCATCACCATAAACTGATTTTGCTCTTTGAAACGAATAAAATGATGGCAAAATCGACTGTCAGTGTAGCCAGAATCGATTTCCCCGCTCTTTTCTCTCTCCTCCCTTCTCTCTCTTGTTAGCATCTAGGGACCAAATTGAATGACAAATAAACTAATGGATGAAAAAACAATGTTCAAAAATAAGAAACTAAAGCATATATTTTCGAGACAAACAGTATAAGGATACAGTTAATGAATTGGCATTTTAAACTCTGTAAAACGTGAGAGTGTGAATAGTATATGTATAGTATTTTTAGGTTTTGTTTTAGTATATTTAATAATATTTTTTACCGGTCATCTTGTAGAATAAGATTAGCTTTCTTGTATTTCATTTTTTTGAGAAAGAAAAAGAAAAGCAATTTCATAAAAGATCTCTATTTTCATACTATAGCCTTATTAACATTATTATAACGTAATAAAAGATCATTAAAATTCAAACTTTACTTCCCCAGATATTTTTCTATCCTCTTGATTTTGAAACATCTTCTCGTAAATTAAAGTTATTCAGAAGTTGAATGAAAAATGTTTTTATTGACAAAATTTCCGGTGTTTGTTTGCTGAAATAAACGAACGAACAAACACACACATAGACAGACACGTTGAGACTGCTGGAAGAAGTAGCAAACAGAATAGTTGTAGAAAAAATCAACGCGAAACCCCAAATCACATTAATCCGCTGTTATTTAAACCCCAAGCAAATATTAAAGCTTTCTGGCTAAAATCCGATAGCTTCAATCAAGAATCAATGGACGCCAAAATCTCATCTCAAAATCAAAATCAGAATAAGGTATTACACGTATCAACCACCCTTTACCCACAATTCAAACTGCCAGATGACTGGGTCGTCGGGCGACGCTGCCGCAGCAAACGAGGCAACCGCCGTAGATATAAGGACAAGGTGATTGTTTCTCTTTCTTTTTACCAATTGAAGTATATTGACCTTCCCTTTTACCATGTCTTTGCTTACCATAGTTGGTGTGAATGAACTACCTCTACATTTGTGTTTACATCTACATTAATGCATGCTCTTTATTCTTGTGTAAGCATTGGTGATTCGGTCTTTAGCGCCAGCCATTTCCCATCGCTTGTGAGGTCTAGTTGTCTTAGGTTCGAGCTTCTCTTTTGCGACCAAAAATTTTCTGACAAAGTAGCATTAGCAAGCATGTTAAAAATGTCAAAATAAAAAATAAGTTAAAAAGTATTTTTAACTTCATGCCAATAGGAAGGCTTGAAGCAAACGTGGATGATTATGGCGTTGCCGTTTGGCGGGGTCAACCGCGCAGGTATTTGAATTGACATACGGGCTGCGATTTGGACTGGTCGAGGATCCGAGTTTCTTGTTAACTCGAAAATGATGAGTATAAGTCGGAAAAAGTTGGGAGCTGTTTTAGGGAAGTGTGTGGAGAGCAACACTCGCTATCTCACCAAATATGGTGTCAAACACCGTAGTCCTAAACAATGACTGGTACCCATTTGGAGCTGCGGTTCAAGCACTTGCACCACATCTCCAATGGTAAATTAGAAAAGCATCAAAATGCTGATGATGCTTTTGTAATTTTCTATTGTGCAAGCACAAAATGAAGCCTTTTTAAATAATGCCAAATGTGGCTTCCATTACTATATTGTTTCATATCTTAGCTAGCTGGACAACTTTCAAGAACACCATGAAACAATGATTAAATGATTCAAGAGTAATGCTACACCTTTGCAAATCAATGCACCAAACGAATGCATCAAATGTAAAGCCATACGCATGATGGCACCTGCAGATTAGTTGGGTTGACGAAATGGCAGCATACCTGCGGTGCACTGGCTTTGTTAAAAAATATACTCACTCAAATTTAAATTCTGACCTCCAGGCATCATACAAACATTTGTCGTAGGGCATGATGACTAGCTCCCCTAAAATGCTTGGTGAAATTGCACCTCGGATTTCAGATCAGTGAAGCCCTTGCAATCCTGATCACAATATGGCATCTGCATTGTCATTTTGATCCACAGTGGACCCAATTTTCCACCAGACTGATCTGTCCTGTCTTTTATTATTTAGCTCTTATATCCCAACGTCGTCTACGATGAAAATTCTAATGCTATGTCTCCTTTCATCGATATGTTTCTCAATGAAGCTATGCTGCTTCAAATCGTTAGCTATTATGGCTATAATACTGCTTAAAATACATGTGCTCTTTATGACGGAAGGTTAATTTGTTCAACTTTGTTTTAACAGCAAGACATACTAGTGTAACTTTCCTCTTAATATACAGTATTACTATGAGCCTAGGACTGGACAGTGATTTCATTCGCTGATATCTGTTCAGAAACACCTGAGTGGAGAAACATCCAAGAATGCTAAACCTGGCAATAATGTGAGTTCTAATATTACCTTGTTTTACGGTTGTGGAATATCAGTAACTCAATAACTAGAGGCTTTTTAAATTTCAGGGGACCTTTGTTTTTTGAGTGTCAGAGGACTTCTGTTTCGTACTTAGTCTGAATGATATTGGACCATTAGCATTAAATAAGCAAGCAAGGTAAACAGGAATTTGGTGCTACGCATACAAATTGTTCCATACATTTTCAAAAACCACTCATTATTCTATCTGCCTGATGGTTGGATTGTTAAGAAAAAGCCACGGAAGAACATCAATTATGCAGGTATTATTGACAAGGTACTGTTATGGATTTAAACTTTTGCTTCTTCGGTCCATATCTTTGTTGCCAAGGGCATATAAGCTATAGTGTACATAAACTGAATATATTTGTTGATGATTTGGGGTAATCAAGCTGCAGAACTTCAATATCTGCTCTACAATATAAAAAATGTATTACAAGAAAACTTGGAAGAAGTTCCTGAAAGCTGAAACTGTATGGATGCTTTTTGGCAAGACGAGTATCAAATTGCTATGATGAAGTCGTAGTTATTCTCATTGCTTTATGAATTCCATATTGCTAGGTTGTCAAGTATGTTATTTGGTTCTTAATACTGAATAAGAAGCTGATTCATGATGTAACAATGGGTATGATGTTGAATAAAACAGATTGATTTCTTCTCTCTACATTCCCAGTCTCTCTTAGTCTTGTTCTCTTAAATTTTTCATCTTACTTTAGTTGCTTGCTCCTCTTGAGCCTTCGGTCCTTTTGATTCTTAATTATAGAAGCATGTAGTAAAAATATCCACTGAGGTGTTAAATAATTATCAAGTTCACAGAGGTAGATTTTTGCCCCAATCTTATTATACCACTCTCCACAGCAAAGATGTACTTTTGGTGCATCGCTGTCTGAATACAGAGTTTTTTGTAAGTTAAGTTCCTTTATATCTGTCAATTCTTTGATTGATATAACGAAGTAGATTTTTCTCAGTGGAAGTTGCAGATTTTGTATTTGGAAGTTCTTCCTGCGAATTGCATGTTGCGTGTGGAAGTTAGAATAATGAAAAATGCTACTTTGTTGTGCAGCACTACATTGAGCCGGAAACTGGAAAGCGGTTCCATTCCCTGAGATCTGTTTCGAAAAACCTTACAGAAGTGAAAGAACATACAGCTACACTGGAAGCACTAAAAGCAGGAGATCATTTTAGTGTGAGTAAAGAATGAATTATTTTGCAGATAATATTAATATGGTTGTATCGCTGAAAGTTAAATATTCTATTGGAGATCGTTTTGTTGTGCTTGACTGGCATAATTCTCTGGTTCTGAGAATAATAAATTCACTGTTAACAGCCATCATATTATGCTAAAGACGGTGAAACTTTTGTAGAGGTTATTATTTAGGATCTGAAATCGTGATATAAATAAGTATTGGCTGTTCATACATGATTTGCAGCCTTCAAAATGCTCTGGTTCTCAGAAGGAACATGTTTCTAGCTAGAAGGTTGAAACTTCAATGCTGGGTTCTTCCAGCACTCCAGCCAAAATAAAATGGATCCTCGGTGGTCCTCTGGGAATAGTATGGAATCCTTTCATAGATGATTCTTTGGTTCCGGAATCCGTAAAGCAGAAATGGTCCGAGACATTTGTGTTTTCCCTCATTGACACACTTTAATGTCCTCGCATTCCAGGTAAGTTATTTCTACGAAAGCTGGGTTGTGCAGTATCTACGCCATGGACAGGTTAATTAAAGATTGTGCTGATGGACAACTGACAATATGCTAGTGGAACAGATTGGCAGTTCACCATCTGAATGAATTAGAGTCAGTTCATTAGGAGTTTTGATTGGCCATAGTGATCATAATGGTTGTGTAATTGTAGCAGTTCTATGAGATTCCGTTACTTCTAGTGTTAGGAAGGAAGTTGATGATTTGTAGATCCAGGCATCACAAGTACTGTAACATGTGGGGAATCAAGAGAAAAATACAGAAACAAAGAAATTTGTACTTAACTCTCAGACTGTCTTCCAGGCTCCTCTATTCTTCATTCAATGATTGTCTTCCTCATAATTTTCCCATTTCCATTAGAATCAAACATTTTGCATCAGTGCTTCTATATAGATAGTCTAGATAGATTCGTATATCTCAAAACCTTGGCAACATGTCCACTACAGTTTTCTTATTAGGAATCACATTATGCATGGCAATAAAATGTAAATTAAAATGCAATTTGAGGTCGCCAAACGAAATAGGTACTCGTTGACTTAAACTGTGCATGCTCATCAATATGCAGTTAGATGTTGTACTAGCAAAGAATGTTTTCTTAACATTTTCTTTCGTGTTGGATAACCTGTCGTTCCCATTTAAGCAGAGCTAAAATTGTAGGGGGTTTTGCCCCATCTGCAGAATATTCTACTCAGTTCGAGTACGAGCGAACAACGAAAGCTAGAGGAAAAAAAGTACCTGCAGTGAGCACTCTTTAAGAAAAATACATGATATAATTCTCTGAAAAGTTCTATTTCAATTACAAGGGTCTTGTACCAGTGACCCCAATGAGGTTGAACACAGCTTTCTATTAATGGGTCATGTGATTTTGCAAATGTAATGCAGCGGAGGCTCCATGACATAATGGACAAGCTACGCATGACTGGCTAAATGGCACCTTGAAAAACCAAAATTGCTCGCTAGCTCACGTGAATGCTTAGAAACAATCAAAGATCAAACCAAGGTAAACGATAATACCAAGGACAAAATTAAGCATCTCCTGTTTCGAAGTCAAAACCACCGAGTCAAAAAGGGCTAAACAATTTTTAATTTAGTACAACAAGTACTAAATAAAGGATTATGTTTTTAACTTCCACAAACACCTAGATACTGAATATTGACCCTACTCCCCCAGCTCACAGCTAAAAACTCAAATTTACGAACCATTAATTCACAAGCTTCCATGAAAAAATAGCGACCTTTATAGGAAAACCCCCCAACACCCAAGTCCCAACACTTACTTTTACCATCAATGTGCGTGCTCGCCGTGCCGTTGCAATTGTGCGTTATTTTCCCTTGAACACCTATCTTTTCCTTCTGCCTATTTTCTTAGTCTTCACTTTTCAGTTCCATACTACAGACAAAATTTACAAAAAGCTATGTACTGCTACTACCTTAGGTTTCATAATCTCATCGAGCCTCGTCTTCGACTTTTTGGACCTCGAGTGTCTTGCTCTCTACTTGACTACTGCTATTATTACTACTGGCACTGTTATTATTGTCGACAATGACATTACCGTTGCTCTCTTTTCTGGTTGCCATTGCTTTTGACTTCCTTGGTATGCATTTGGTGCGCACTCCCTCAATCTCCTTTTCTGCCAGTTGCAGCTGGGAGCTCCTGAGATTAGCCCATTGAATGATCAGATTAATCATAATGGAAAAAAAAAAAAAGAAAAGAAACACAAAAATGCTGAAAACAAGCCAACTCCTCTAGCATGGAGCACTAATATCTTATAGTCTTCACGCAAGCAAGAAAAGTTACAAGTTTCAGACTTGTACAATTGGTAGTTTATTACTCTGGTCCCCATATGTGAAGTGGGAACGTACTTACCTATTGGTACAGCAAGGCAGCATCCCCGATACTTGTTGAATTAAATTCTCAACTACAAGAATTCAATTCAGGACCTCCACATGGTGATTATAAAGGTTTAGAGGAAGCATTTAATAAAACTATAATGTAATAGGGAGGGATGGTGACTAATAAAAACAGAGCCAGTTTACTGTTCTTGGGGCAGGAAAGTGAAACTAGATAGCGAAGAGTTTACTAGCTGGCTTTGTTCCTAACAACCCAAAATCCGTACGAATCTTGCTTTCAAATCAATCCAAAAGTTTAACAAAGAATCATAGACCTGACAAAAAATCCTCAGAGAGAGAGAGAGAGAGAGTGAGGCAAGGCAAGAAAAAAACCAAACGATTTACCTACTGCTGCAAGTTAAACTATATAGAAGCACTTTTGCCAGGGAAACTTCAAATCAAGCTTTACTTCATTACTAGTACAGTACTACGTAACAATGATAAGAAGCAAAAGTGTAATTTTATTTGTCCATTGAAAATAAAAATCATGGTATTCTAAATTGGGATTCCAAATTTCCAACCCGAATTCAACTTTATTGCTTTCCAAAAACACTAATGAGATACATATTTAGGAGAGTCTAGTGATGTAAGTTGCCAATGGCTATATGGGCTTATTGGATTTGGTTAAAAAAAAAAAAAAACAATAGCGGAAAACATAGGTATAGCTTTGATGCTCGAAGCACCATAACAAACCAACATTAAAGAAATAAAATAATAAAAAACAAGAGGAAACTTCAAATTAACCCACAACTTATTACCTAATTCTCTAAAGATCTAACGTTTTCAGACATTTCTCAATTGGGCCATTTTATCAACTCAAACTAATTTTTCTCGTCAATTTATTTTCCATAACAATGTTGTTTCACAGCATAAAGTATGCACATTAGATGAAAAATATCAACAAACATTGATGAATCCAATTGAAAAATGTTTGAAACATTTGGGATCCATTTAATAAAATATATTGTTTTGAAACTCCATTGCGAATGAGCATATAAACCAAACACTAAATTGAAGTTTCTAAAAAATGAAAACACAAACAAATACAATTCTCTGCTAGTAGACTTCATTTCATCCTTGAATCAAAGGCCTACCAAATTAAATAGTATTTCCATTTTTTTTTTTATTTACGTCAACAACAATCTAATGTAATGGTAATTCAAATCGACGTAATGAAACTTCCAAAAAAAAAAAAATCAACTCCTGTTCTCTCCATAAAATGAGGTCATTTCTCTTGCTAGAAAGCTAACAAAGCTGATCTGTGAATCTCTAAAGGGACCACCTGTACTCTTATTTCCCAACTGCCGCAGGGTCATAAAATCAGAGAATCAAAGCATAAAAAGTAGTAAAAATAAGTTACCTATCAGCATTATAGGAATTGGACCTCTTCAAGTTCAAAGCGGGCAACTCCTTCTTTGTCTCGATCAAGCTCCCACTAAAATACTCCTTATCTTCCAACTTTACCCTGGAAAAATTCGAAATTTCCCTCGATGTTCCCTCACGGATCCCTCCTCCACGTGGCAATCTCCCCTTGTATTGGCCAGCAATCAACGACAAACCTTTCTCCTTCACTGCCGTGGCCCCACAGTCCCTAAACGAGATCGAACCGCACGATATCAACTGCATTAGAACCGTAGATGCTTTCATCCGCTCGCCATTCTCAACCGTTTGATTCAAATTTAAGCCAGCACTCCCTTCATTATTACCGCTTAATATCAGCCGTCCATCAGCCTTCATCAAAGACTCCAGAGTCTCTGGACTCGAGTCAGACGGTGGGGGTGAAACCTCAATAATCTCTTCTCTGTTCGCCTCCGGTTCGGGACCAATTTTTCTCTCTTCCTGCAATTCTTGGATTTCTGGTTTGACCTGTCTCCTCCTCCTCCTGCTATCATCAGTCTGAGTCGACGCGTCAGCAGCGAGTTTTCGACTCGACTCGGAGGATGACTCAGTCTTGTAAACTTTGTACTCATTAAGATCGATAGAGCTCCAGGATTGGTTCCTACGCCTGGCGATAACTGAAAAATCCGAGCCTTGACTGGATGATGATGATGATTGACGAGTTTCTTGAGGTTTCGCTTCAAGGAAGAGCTGTTTGTTAGAATGATCGAGAAGCTCTGATCCTTTGAGAACGTACTCGTGACCGTGAGCTGGGTGAATGAAATCGTTCTCCGTTAAGTCGTGCCAAACGAAGCCGTTTTTGTAGCTCCTGGAGTAAAAAAGGTGGGATACTTGGATCAGAGAAAGGGTAGATTAGATCGGACGGTTGGATGAATGAGGTATAATATTGCTTTTTTAACTTACCGTTTAGAGGACCAGGAGTAGAGGCAAGCCATGCCTTTGCCTCGAAGGAGGTCTAACCGGTTGATTACGTCTGATAAATATATATATAAATAATTACAGAAAAATTAATGCAATGAGATAAAGAAGGCAGCAAAATGAAATACTTGTACTGACAAAAGTTTTCTAAAAAGTATCTTTTGGTTTAAACTTGAAAATTTTGATTAGTTTCTTTTTACCTCTGAGGTAGAGGCCGTCATTAGAAGAGATAGGGACCTCCATGAAATGGGGATGCTCAAGCTGACCATTTCTGGACAGATAGTAAACAACAGGAACTTTTCTGGACAGCTTATTAGATTCACTCCCGACTACTCTGGTTCTCTCAGGAGTGATTTCTCTGTCTTCCTTCCATTTCCTTGGAATCTGGATTACTTCTGTGTTTCTTCCACCTCTTGAACTGACAGCAGCCATTACTTCTCACTTCTGCAAATTTCATTAAGAAACAAATTCAATGCAGATAACAAGAAAATGTTATCAGTAATAATGAGCAGTGAGTGGTAGGAGATCAACAAGAAAACAAAGAAAGCTGGGGAAAGCGATTGAGTTACCTGGATGATCAGGTGAGAAAGTGAAAGGAGAGGAATGTTTGAGAGTTTTGGAATTTTTTATGGGAGAATCTGGTGAGACGTCGAAAGAGAAGGAGACGGAGGGAAAGTGTATAAATTGCAAGGACACTTATGCAAATGTGAACGGGGGAAGAGACTTTCAAATTGGGGATGCGGCAGACAACAGCTACCCAACAAAAGAGGTTTGTTTTGATTTCAGCACCTATAGACTGCCTGTAAGTCTGTAAATATAAGATACTCTCTCAAGGTGTCAAAATAAAAGTTTCATTTAACTTTATACACAATTTAAAAAATGCAATTTTAGTATTTTTTTTAAACAATACTGAAATCTATTCGATTAAATCTTATATTATAAAATAGAGATATTTTTATAATATATAATATTAAAAATTTTAAACAAACAAGTATTCTGAGATAAATACAAATAAAAAATAAATATTTATTTCTTATAGTTTTAAAAATTATGAATTATAATGCTATTTTTTTTAACAATACTGATTTGAAATATTTTTTTAAATAAAAAAATTATGCAATTTAATATTGCATTATAAAATATCAATATTTTCAAAAAATAAAATATTAAAAACTTTGACTATACAAATATTTTAGGGTATGTATAAATAAAAATAAATAAATGATCTGTTCAGAATAGAGAGACTATTGCACTTTTTCATTTTGATTTTTCATATAAATTAAAAAAATTATTAAATATTATATCATATCAATATTTTTTGAAAAAAAAGTCTTTTTGTTTAGAATTGTTTATCGTGAAAATAAATTTTAATTACGTTTATTTAAAAAAAATATATCACTGAAAATTTTGACTAAGCAAACATTTTTGAACAAATATTCTCTTTCTAAGGAGAAAATATTAATATAGCATTGCAACTTAATGGTTCCCATGGTGATCGTTCTCTTACCATGATCTCTTTGTCCTTTTCTGTTCTCGTAAACGTATTTTTTTCCTCACATTTTTTTTGTCACAGAGACCTTGTCACTTGCTTTAATAATGTTTCTTCTCTAATGTATCGAGGTTATGACATATTTAAATTGGTCAATCAAATTCCTATACTTCATTACTTCATTTAAATCAATTAGATTTATTATTATTATTTTTTTTGGACAAATATATTAGATTGTACAGTTAATTCCCAACCTACTAATACACACACATGAGGACAAATTCACTATAAATTATTCAAATATATATTATATTTTTTTTAAGAATTAATAATGGTAATTTAAGGGCCTAAACTAATCAAAGTGAAAAAGCAAAATATATATATCTTTTGCTTTTTCTCAAGAACAAATATTTTTGGGAGGTCAATAAGTTGGTGGGATCATTTTTTGCATTAAATTAATTTTGTAGGGGCAAATGAATCAAAATAACAGGTTATGGGAGCAAATATAACAAAAGGAAATTATGGGAACAAACTCTTTACTTTTACCATGGATTTAGGTGGAGCACAGCGTGGGCAATTGTCCACTTTGCCCGCCCTTGGATCTGTCTCTTATGAAATGGTAGTCGAAAAATAGTAGGCTATGTACAGAATGTATCTTTGTCGGAAAAAGAAAAATACTTGTGTAAAATGTGAATTTCAATTTACGCTTTGTCCCATTACTGAAAATGGACTCGAAAGTTTCAGTATGATGGGAATTGCGAAGGTTCAAATGAAAAAGAAAAGAAAAAACGAATGAGCTGAATTTTGATTTCCATGTCAATCCATTTATTGTTAAAAAAAAAAAAATTTGGCATTAATTAAAAAGACATTACTTTTGATCTCTTTTTATTAAAATACTATTTCACCTAAAATCTTAAATTTTTAAATAAAATTTCTAAATATAATTTATTTTACTCTTCAACATATCTTTTTAAATAAAAATTTTAATATATAGAATTAAAACTTACACGTTGCTTTGTATTTAATATTTAAGAAAATGAGCATAATAATATTTAAATTTAGGACCAATTGATCAATCAAGCTCGATATCATATTAAAAAAATCATTTTATCTAAAAACTTAAGCTATTAAATAAGGATTTAAAATATAATTTATATTACTCTCTAACACTCTTTTATAGTTTTTTTTATCATATTAATTGAAAATGAAAAGTATAGTATGTCAATTTTGAAAATAGATTACTCTAGCATTTTTTATAGTTCTTTTATCAAATTAATTGAAAATCAAAAGTACCTTATATTAATATTGAAAGTAGATTATTCATGAGTTACCCACCATATATTTGTTGAAATTGTTAGTTTCTTGCTGGTATGGTGAGATAGGAAATTTCATCGCTACGGAAACGTCCATTTTATTTTCCTTGCATTGGAAGTTGAAATTAAAATTGTCGTTAGTAATCAGTAGGTAAATAAGTTGAAATTGATAATTTCTTGCTGGTATGTTGAGATGGGAAATTTCATCTCTACGGAAACGTCCATTTTATTTTCCTTGCATTGGAAGTTGAAATTAAAATTGTCGTTAGCAATTGGTAGGTAAACAAGTTCAACTCTTTAGACACTTTCTGCTAAATTATTTTAGTGAAAGAGAGTTGAAACCTCAAAGTCCGAAATGAACTGAAAAGTAACTCCCTCCACTATCCACTAGAAACTAACACGACTCATTTCCAAAGAAAGTTTCAATTTTAAATAACCTAAATCTTGAGATCGAGTTGACATTCAGACTCGCCTATTCTTTTTCTTAGGTTACGGTCCACACCTAACATTGACTTCAAACTCCGCGATGATCACGGTTTCCGGGAATTTATTAAAAGTTCAGCAGTGTGGACTCTAATTCATCAGATGAGATTGACAAGGGCCCATTTTTCCACGTGGAAATAATCGAGTTGACTACCTTAATACTGTTTCCGTCCGAGGCTGATGATGTGAATGAAATAGACCCGTGGAAGAAGAGGGACAATCTGTCTGAGATCATAACTATCAGAGTTGATCAGACCCATCGGACGGTATTGGACCCAGAGAATCTACCCTTGAATGTCACCAAATCTTCATACAATCGACTTTCTAACTTGTTCATCATGTGATCTTCTCTAAGATTCGAAGTAGGGTCATGCTGGTAGGTCTCTTTACTCTTTATTACGTATTTATTATGTTTTTTTGTTGTTTCTTAATATCATTTTTTGTTTATATTTTGTTTATGCTTTGATTATTTTTTTTATTAATTTTTTGACTAATATTGTTAAATTGCATTGTTAAAGGCATAAAATTATACCACGTGTTAATTTGTTATTTGTTGAACCGAATTTAAATAAATAAATTTCAAAAGAAAAAATTAAAGAATAATTTCAATTTGTTTTTAATGAGAAAAATTCAGTTAGTCATTTTGATATGGAGAAGTAATTCATGAATAAAATTAGCAATCTGACAGATATAACAGCACACTAACAAATCAACTCCCAACAGAATTTCACTTTCTTCCTCCAAGTTCTGGGTTTTTAAGAGACAATGAAGTCGACAAAAAAACCTAACAGAGCTCACAAATTTGTTTCTTTATTATCCACCCGGTCATTAATTCGTTTATTCACTTCTCCATAAATAACAAAAATCTAGATTTCACCTCTTTTTTAACACATAAGGTGTCCAATCGAACCAAACCCAGATGCAATTTTTCAATCCGACATAACAAGCCCTCTAAAAATCCACAGTTTACAACAATTGACAAAATGTCCTTCCCTCTCTCCAAATTCATGCAATTCATTTTAACACAAACACCATCAAGGTTGCAAACCTCATGATTTTAATCAAGCGAACATCATGGTTGAATGACAGTGGTCGTTGTTTGGAGTTAAACGATGCGTTTGATCTGTAGTATGAGAATTGCGATGGGTCAATCTCAATGATGCTTCATCAGGTGTGGAGTAGGTAGAGGATAAAAGGAAAGGTGGAGGGTTGTGTGAAGATGATTATAAGTGTTGGTTTTGTTGGGGATGAGTGGTTAATTTTGAAGAATTTGAGAAGGTGATGGTCACTGGCATCAATAATGGATCTGATGTAGGGTGCTTGGATATTATTTATTTGGACAGTACACAGCGTCAAAGTTGGACTAAGATTTTAGTGATGCACAAAACAGAAGATCTAGGTTTTGATTCATTATCCTACTTTTTTTTTTTTTTTTCATTTATTCACTTCTATTTTATCTCAAATTTGATATGTGTCACAATTAAATAACACTAATAATGCGATATAAAGTTGGTAGTTCAAAACATTAACAAAATAGTATGATTAATACAGAAACCAAACATTAAAAAACAAGATTAAAATGAAAATAAATAAATAGATAGATAAAGATAAAATAAAAAATAAAAGAATTTTAGTAACTATCAACTCATTCCTATAATGATTTGTCTATTTCTAATACTTATGGTATTAAAGATATACAACTCTTTAACTCGGATTTGAAATTTTTTAAATTTAAAATTTATATAAATCTACATTAAATTATGCTTAATTAATTAAAAAATAAATATTGTAAGACTTTAACTTATAATCATTTAGTCAATAAAATTTTAATATTATATAAAAAATTATTTTAATCTAAAAACTTAAGTTATTGAATAAGGTTTCAGAAATTGTTTTATAAAACTCTTTAAGATGTGATTATAATTTATTTTTTCTTTTTCATTTATTGTTGATTAAGAGTTGACATAGATTTTGATAAGAAGCACGATATTTGCAATGACATATGATATGTTAATATCAATCAAGTTTTGATCTCTCTCTCTCCCTATATATATATATATATATATATATATATATAATAAAGTTAGATGCTAACTTTAATAAATATATATTGTGTTGGATGCTGTATCTGAAAATGTATAATCTTCACTTTATTTATGTATGAATCATGATGTTTATAAAGATATTTTTGCGAGGAAAACGCTTAACAATAACATCAAAAATATAGTTTGTTGGGCTGATAAGGTGTGAAATTAAGGAAGCCATGGAACATGAAGAAAGAGAGAGAGGTGAGAGAAAACTGTACGAAGGGAATAAAATTAAGGAAACGCTTAATATATATATATATAATAAAGTTTGTTTATAAAGATATTTTCGCGAGGAAAACGCTTAATAATAACATCCAAAATATAATTTGTTGCGCTGATAAGGTGTGAAATTAAGGAAACCGTGGAACACGAAAGAGAGAGAGAGAGAGAGAGAGAGAGAGAGAGTGAGAGAAAATTGTACGAAGGGAATGGCGGATCGGGGTATTTGATAGATCAAAATAGTGGAGTCGGTAGTCAATGCAACTCTTTCCCCGATTCAACTGCACGTGGAAGTGAGCAATTGACTCTCTAAGGAAAAGCATTTTATTTTATCCAACATGTTGATTGTGCTTTGACTACAGGCAAGTTACATAGGCTTTGTTTTTTCCACGGCTGTCAACCAAAGTTTCTAAAGCTGAAAACTTAAAAAGGCTTTGTTTCGTGATATTCAATTTAATTAAATATACCTTCGTAAAAAAAATTATTCTATAAATGCAGACTCGCTCTAAAGATATATCTGTAAAAAATAATGAAATGTAAATATACTATTTCATCGAGGAGCAAATGACAGGACTTTGATTAAATTAATTTTCTCTTTATTATCCAATAACGTAGTCAAAATTTTTCTTTAGCACGGTTAATTAAAGGCCACCCACCTTGTTACCTTCAAACATCAGGTTGCGAACTATAAACCATTAACAATAGTAATTAATATATTTTTTTATCTCTGGAACGTACGAGAGCTAATAACGTGTCTAATCTTTGAACACATTATAATTGTGTATATTTTAATTCGGACCTATTTTGCCGATTGTTTTGTAAATTTTAAGGGTATAAGTATCAAACTATGAATAACACTAAAAATCCATCTTTATGATACTCCTAAGAAAATAATGGATCTCTTTGCAAAAGAAAAGAAGCCTGATCTCTATAACTAGATTTGGCCCAACACCTAGAAACCGTAAATAAACTCTCGAAGACTAGGACACCTATACCTGAGATAGTTTTTGATAATTCCCTCCAAGTTACCCTCAACCTATAAATGAGAGGTACGCCCATTGAATGAAAACATGTATTTTAAATAGAATTAGTCTTGTCAATTATGACAATGTAACCCACCGGCCACCGGTCTTTCAATTGTCTAAATGAAAGAAGATCTACATCAAAAATAAATATTTCTCAAGTAAATGTTAAAAGCCATAAAGCACAAGGAAAAAGATAAATTTATCCTCATCTCTTACTAATTTATACCTATAAATGATTCGCCACAATTCGTTGTTTTAGGCCCAATTCTCTCCTGAATGGCTTTATTTGTATCCAAATTTCTATCCTCCTCAACCCTAGGATCCCCACCCCATTCATCCTGACCCTTAACACCAACATTCCTGCCATTTTTGCTGTGTGTGCTCAGCACATTTTTAAGACAAAAAACAGAGGGGAAAGGATAGGTTGTGAGACGACAAATTGATGAATATAATCCGATATATATATTTGGGCCTCAAGAAGCATGTCTGTATGCTTGGGCTTCCTACAACAAGCCCTCGCATCCTTTTTTATGAAAAAAATTGATGGCGCGTCGGTCATGTGGGGCAACAATGCATCATTCTCCTAACATTCGGCGAACTCGAATTTGCCTATGGTTAAAATAAAATTTTATACTCTCAACGACAACATGGAAGCTTCTTTTTCTTGATATGTTTTTGCAATATTTAGCAATGTAATGATTCGGATGTGTCTTTCTTAATATTTGTTAAATGGTTAATCATGTATTTTTGTGCAGTTTTTTTCTTTATATATCACTTCTTGAGGCCATCCATGTTGAATTGATGTTGCTTATCTGCTTGGTTTTACTGAATGAGTTTTTTTATTTTTTCGATATTCAATTCTGTCTTGGTGGGTCTAGTTATATCTTTTTTGCTTCTTTTTTTTTTGGATTTCTTTGTTCGGCTCATTCTTTATTACCTTTTCAATATATATATTTTTTGTTATACAAGTTCAATTAAACATACCAATGAATATGCTTCTTAAAAAAATAATTACTTTTTAAATATTATAAAATTTATAAATTTCTTAATTCTCAATAAACCAATTGGATAAAGAAAAGTATATTTGTCTAATGAAAACTTGCTTGGCTAAAGAGCCACGTTGCACTTTAATTTTTTAAGGCTACGCACATAGAATCGGATATTAACCTATAACTATGTCTTTAGTCCTTTCCATTATATAATAAAAAAAATTGGAATCAAGAGTACTTATTTTAACAAATCAGTTAAGCAACTTATTTTATAGAGCTCTAGGAAACAAATGGATTTTCCTCCCATTTCTTTCTATTGCAAATCCTTGTTAGTGTTTGCAAACTTTTGTCCCTTCGCCAATCACTCTGCTTTTTCTCATCAACAATGGTTCGGCTCTTTGGGCGTCTCCTCCAATTTGGAAATGGCCACATGAGGCATGAAACTCAGCACCATGCCTCTGGTCAGGGGACCGCTATAATGTGCAAAATTTTAGAAGAATAGAGAAATTCTATAAGAGTCTAGAGTCTGCATGAAAGAATTGAAAAATGCTAAAAAAACACATGAGCACCCGTAAAGTGTTTTCTTAGCTTGTAAAAACAATGGTCAACCAATCAAGCAAAAAAGATGTAAATAGTGAGAAGCCTGGATAGAGAAAGAAGCAAGTGCAAGCAAGATACAAATTATGTAACCGATAGATGGGTAGTTAATATTCAAACAGGTAGAGTTTTAAGTGTTGTCTAATGTGTGCGTGAGAGAGCTTTGAGGTGGCAAGTTCGGATGTTTCTTTGCCAGGAATTAAAAGTTCTAAAGTTAAAAATTCTCTAATATAAAAGTTTTGTTCTCGAAAGTTTTGATACCCTCACAATGATGCGAGACTCGGTATTTATAGTGAAAGAATATGATCCTTGACCATTAGGATCATGTCACGTTATCCAAGTTGGATATCCAAGTTTTGGCTTGAAGGATTTAGGCTTTTAAAATTAAATTGCTTCAACTTGCTAGCAAAGGTTAAATAAAGCAATAATTCGGCATTTCTTTTGCGAATCCGCTCCAAGCCTACCACGTTAATCTCCTTAATGCATTTAAAAAAATAAGGTATGGACACTGGTTCCGCCGTAACATCCGTATCTATCCTTGTAACCTATGACTACGCCGAGTGAGATCCGTTCTTAGTTCAATTTATTTATGTTGTAGTTTGAACTCAAGTCAAGAAATCAAGAAAGATAATATGGATTAGTATATAATAAAAAAATTAGCCGATTTATTTAGTTTTTTTTTTTTTTGGAAAAATTAAAACTATACAAGTTTTTATTCACTAGAGTTATTAATTGAGGTGGATGAGATTTAGAAGGGATGGTGTTCAAGAAAATAATATTGGAAAGAGATTAATGGAGATGGGTTTTTTTTTCTTGTTGTTGTAGAGTTCGAAAAATTTTATAATACTTAAGCAATCACTAGTGTAAATTACTTCATAGAGAGAGATGGACACAAAGAGGATATAGAAATAGGAGAGAGAAAATAAAAAAAATTTTGAGTTAAGGTAAAAATTTTTTATCACTTTTGATGGATTCGAATATGATTTTTTTTTATGTGTTTATCTCTTTTCTTAAACATAAGCACATAGAGTAACTACTATATATGTACGAGTAATTACTCCTTGAGTATTATAAAATTTCTCGTAGAGTTCAATCATAGTAGTAATTAATTGTATCAATAAAGTAAATTTTAAAATGGTTTTGCAAAAAGGAAATTAAAAAAAGAAAGAATTTTGGTTTTTTTTTTTTTTTAATCCATAAATGCTACAAACATCCTCTTAGCTGTCTTGTTCTATTTTGAGAAGCATGGATTTTTTATCGTCATAAAAATCAACAAATTACCTAGATCGGAGAATATGTCAATTTAAAAAGATTTAATTGATTGATTTTAAAGTTCAAAAACATAGATATACATAGTACATAAGTATGAATTTATCCAGTTAGTTTATATATATCATCATTGCTAAACATGTTATTAAGAAATTTACTAATCGAAATCCCAATTTTATCATACAAAATTTAAGAAGTTGATGGTGCATGATGATGATGATCACTTGGAGTCTCTATAGACGTTAGACGTATGTGCCTGTTAACTTGTGTGCGTACGTCACCAAGAAACAAAAATAGGAGATGAGTAAGAGATTTCTCCATGAGTTTATTGATTGTTACCTGCAAGTTGCCATGCAGCGCACAAACTGCCTTCAACTTTAATATTTTTCAATTTCTCCTGGGGATATCATGATCACAGTACGTACGTGGAAGCACCTCCAGGCAGAAGCTGATGTAAGGCTTATCTTGAAAATTCCTAGCTCTTATTTATGCGATTAGACGTGGTGCATTCCTCGGCCACGTAATTGGGAACATGATATTAATGGTTTAGCTAGCAAGGGAAGACTCGATTGAAAGATATATATGGGTGGGATTAACTGTTGATCATTTATCTTAGATAGCAAAACAAAAGTAAAGCATCGATAAATACATCTCTATCGAAGTTGATTTACGGAGGCACAATATGCATTTCATTTGATCAGATTGGAAGCAATTGACACATCAAGTCATATGGCCACTTTTCTGGGGCAGGGAGAACAAAAAGATAATATAGGGCACTTATCTTATCATGAAAAGACAGCCATGATGAAGCATCATTCCTATACAGAGCTACTATTATATATTTCTATCGACAATCCGAACTATCTTCCAAAATAGGAAATGGGTATCCCACTTTGACTAGTTTACAACCGATCCAGCAATGGATCGATTCCAGCTATTACTTCCGATCAGAAACAGTCCAAGCTTTTCTATTACTAAATGCCCATCACTATGCCTAATTTTGCTTTTCATCAAACGCCAGGTTATCGAAGGAGAAAAGAAAGTGTAGAAAACGATTTCTGCTTTGGATTCCATCATCCCAACAAAGGCCACAAAAGTTTGGACCGTCATCAAGACTTAAAATAATATTTAACGTTCATTTGGGACTGCTATGATGCTATCATGAAGAACCATAATCGAAGAATGATAATTTCCTTCCTATAATTAGTAATTTAAACCTAGTTATGCTCTATAAAGGTAAGCTTGATCAATAGCAAGCAGCAGCAATCCATCCTTCGCATCCCAAACAAATGGGACCTTAACTTTATTTGAGAAGAGACAGAGCTCCTCCTAATATGCTATATATTATCAGGATGTCCTTTTCCCATCTCAATCCTTGCCGACGAGCATATGTAAGAAATGGAAATTAACAAAAATATATCATCTTATCATGTCATATAATCTACATCATCGTGCCAGTTAATATATTGTAGATATCATTTTGTCTTCAGTGATGTATTAGCTGTTGCCACGTGGCATCCCTTCTTGAATTGAAACAATAAAGCAAGATAGTATATCGTCGTTTGAACTTTTTACTTTTATATATGGAACAAATATCCTCATTTGGTACGCATGCATCAATAGCATCTTGTTTTTGTTTTTATAGTGGAGGAATCAATAGGACTTCAACCATCCGTGACGTCGCCAGCAAAGAACTTGAGAGCTGGCCCAAAAAACAATTAACATTAGCGATTGGATATGGTTGTACTGTTTATGGCCCAGTTAAGAAGATCAAGCAAAACCGAGGTAGACCTAAATGCTTAAACAAACCTGGAAACCTAAAACAAAACAACATTGTGCCTTCTGGGTTCAGACAAAGGAAACTTAACTAGCCACATATATATATGTATGTATGTATGGATTGTGTGCATGCATGTATACAATATAACATAGAGAGAGAGAGAGAGCTATGGAAATAAATTCGAGTGGAGTGACCATAGATTGGTGGTGTCCACGTCACAATGGTTCATCTTTTTGGCGACCCTATCTATCTCTATTCCACCACTGATCAGGAGGACCCATAAAGCATGGAGCCACCTTCACATTTCTTTCCATTGTTTTGTTATTTTTTAACCATGCTGGATTTAATGCTAACATCACAACCACAAATTAATATAATGTTGTTGGTATTAATATGGGCAACTGATGTCGTGTTCCACTTTAGATATCTTCCTTATCATATTGTTGCTAGTGCTATAATATATTAGCCTCCTTAACCATCTCTAAAATTGTCAGTGGATTGACAGACCAATGAATTTCCATCGTCCATCTCTAAATTATTAGTTGTCTTATCAAAATGAAAACGAAAGGTGCCCAGAACATTTTATTGATTTGTGGTACAGAAAACAAATCTTCAATGATTAGTCTAATGAATCCGACCTTCAATTTTAATTGGGAAGAAAGATTTAAAAAATGGATGCATTGGCATCGAACAAAAATATGATCAACTTAATTAATTTGGTGGCATGATCAATCAATCCTCTAATTTAAGGTAATTTATGTCGAAAGTCTAGAATGTCCATATGTTTTGTGATGTGCCTCTAGATTGTTTGATTTGAGTTATTCAAATCTAATGATTCTGATGGACATCAACACCATGCCAATATTAAAAAATCGACATGCATGGTTGCAATCCTCTTTAAAGAATCTAGGGTCTAACATTCATCTATCACAAAAACCCGCTGCCAAACCACAATGCACATTTAGACCGCTGGATTTGCTGTGTGCAGGATTCCAGCCTCAAGGCTACGCCCATATCATAGGGGAAAAAAAAGAAGAAAAGAAAAAAAAACATTCATCTAAGAATCGTATAAAAACATGAAAAATCCAAATTTGAGACTCACGAAGCCAACATATCATTTTTATTTAATTCAAGTTAAAAATAAATAATTTGAGCATGTAAAAAAAGAAATTCATCTAGGAAAATGATCATATAATAACATGAAAAATCCAACTTGAGACTCACGAAGCGAATATATCATTTCAATTAATTAATTAAACTTATAAATAAAAAATTTGATAGGTCTCAAGAATGTTATTATCTTATTCTATGAGACAGCCCAGTTGACTTCCTTTATCGAATTTTAGTGTTTTTATTTTTTCTTTTTTGTGATTTAAAAATAATTTCTCCTTGGCTAACTGTAGTCATTTTATTTGACCTTTGAACAGAGAATGATACAGATATTAAGTTCGAATCTAAAATTGCTTGTGTGCTTCATATAACAATAAGAAAATAGTTATTGCAAAAATATCAAAACTGACAAGTAATGTTGAGGATGTTAACACATTTTTACTAAAAATTTTCCATGAACTGATATGCTTTTTTATTATAAAATATTTAAAATAATGGCAAATGAATTTTATCAATTAATGTTATTCCTAGCACACTAAAAGGAACATAATTAAATAGTAAATATAGACATAATAAATAAAGAATTTGAACCTTTTACCTTGATCATTAGAAAAATTAATCATTAAGGTCACATTTTCATATTTCGTAGTATTAAGATGAAAGAACCATAAAAAATAGTTTTATCATAATTTTAGATGATCGACTTGAGGCACAACCGGGTTGCTTTCTTGAGACAATATGCATCATTCGCAGAATTTATCCGATTTAATGGATAAAAAATATATTGCACGCCACCTCGGGGATACAATAAGCTCGATCACCTTATCGTGTCTTAACAAGTTTGCACTACGTGTAAGACTCGAAACTCTAAATAAAATTTAATACTTCTTTTACCCAAAAAAATAATAAATAAATAAAATAATTAAATATTATATGGCTTTATAGTGGGAGGTTAATGAACACAAAAAATAAAGAATTATTTTTCTTCACTAGAAAATACTGCTGCACTTTTTCTCTCTAGTATAGCAAGAATATAAAAATGTTGTGCACATTGTTTCCTCTCAAATTATATGAAGAAAAGTCTTGTATATATAGTGTGTATATTACCCGTTGGACAATTAATTGAATAAAAGCTAAAACGGTAAGAAAAGGACAAACGTTCCAAATAAATGTCAAGAAGCCGTTTGTAATTGAATACGTAACAGCCCTTTTGAAACGAAACTTTCAACAGTTTCAAAAAGCTAAGTAATAATTAATTAACATGAGCTTTAATTATTTTTTTTTGTTAACACTTAATATAGTTTTAAATATTTTATTAAAAAATATACCAACAATTAATGTGATATTTACTCATAATTAAATATTCATGTACACCTATCAGAAATTAACACAAGTAAAAATTCTTTACTGTCCCTAGTATTATTCAGAATGGCCATGTCTGTAGATGTTCAGATTATGTAATGTAAGAATGAAACTTCTGCTGCTTTTTTTTTTTTCCTTGGCTAAAAGATCCAAACTTTTACCGATCTTTAATTTATTTAAAAATCAGTTTTTAAACTTTTAATTTTAAATTTAACCTTTTTTAACTTTTTTTTTAAAAAAAATTTAGTCTATTATACGATTTTCAACTATCACTTCCGTTTTTTAAAAAAAAATTAATTTTTGACATTTTAAGCTGAGTCACACACTTTGGGAAAAATCTAATTCCTTTTTTTTTTTTTTTTTGGAAATTCTGAATTTTTCAAACCCAAAAAGTGTGTGTATGTGTGTATATATATATATATATATATATATATATATTTCAACATTAAAAATATATAAAATTAAGAAAAATAGAAAACAACCAGAATGATTTTTTTTTAGGGAATTCCAAATAAATTTTATTGAATGATTTTCACCATGAAACTATTTATTTGACTGTTATTTTTTATTAAAAAAAACTAAAAAAACACTAAATCTAAAAAAAAGGTTGAAGGAATGTCAAACTTAGAATTAAAAGTATAAGAACTGATTTTTAAATTAACTAAAATCTGGAAGAGGTTTGATTCATTTAATTTTTTCTTGAAAAAAATATACTTCCATTGTATATATTGAGTTCATAAATAGCGTTGGGCTAATATATATATATATATATATATATATATATATATATATATATATATATTCAAGCTTGTGAGTTCAACTTTAAGTCTTTCTATTCACAAAAAATAAAAAATAAAAAAAATCTCTGAAACTTTTGGAATGATTCGAGAGAAAGAGTTTCAGACATTAATATATATAATTCTACTAACCCATTGTATTTATGTGCATCATTCTCTAATCTTATGAAGTTTAGTGATTGAGAATTGGGGAATATATATAACAGCATGTATGTGTATGGCTTGGTGATGATTTAATATTATGATTGACAAAGCTTTTTATAAATTTACTAACAAATAGATCTGTTATTAGCGCAGCACCAAAAAGAGAAATTTTTTAAATTATGAGTGGCAACATGTCTAAAAATAATAATCTTAATATAAGGCAGGTAAAGGAACTATGGATCTCGTCAACTTGCGTTAGCCTGATTCTTAAGTAGGATGTAGGAAGCTGATATGCTGTGCATAAAAAATGTATTTCCTATAAATATTATCTCCTTCCGTCCTCGTGACACACAGAGGTTGGCGCACAAATATGACACCTAAACAGTTCCTTCCTATTCCCTGCTTTACCAGGTTTGTCGTGTTCTACTTTTTCCTTTCTTTTTTAGTTACCATAGCTTTCCATATCTGTGGCCTTTACTAAAGTCAAGGGGCACCTGCATCGTTTTCCTAAAAATTAAATACAAGAGGGAGAAGATCTAGGGACTTCCATCAACTTATTCCCTTTTATCCAATTACATCTTGAGGTCGTCCTCTTTTTGTGGAGTTGCTCTCTTTTAAGCTTATGACACCATTCCCCACTTCATAATAATAGTAACAAATACAGCATGATTATCTCCATTGCTAACGCTTCAAAATTTATAACGTTATAGTATATAACTGAGCTTTTATTAAATGAACAACTCTGACTCTGATTCCAATTGGCTTAAGCACATGAATAGAAACAGACATCAATTTCTGATCTGTATGAACTGTCTGGAAAGAAGATTAATGGTCCTAATTACTACTTAATATCAAATGCTTAATTCACTAGGCAAACAGATAGTATTCTAGTAATTTAGCAATTGATATTTGAAGAAAAGCTGATTATGAAAGTTACGTCAACATATCATCTCTTACTTTGGTTATTGCTATAGTGGCTGACATCAAATGTGCATTAGGTTCATATCAGAAAAATGTGCACGCGCAAACCACATGTACGGTGAAGATTGCATAATGATGATCATCATCATAATAACTAAAACTTATCACATAGTCTTCCACTGGTGCTAAATTGTTTGTATAAATACGAGTAGCGTACAACTAGATCCCCCCAAGTACCAGTAATCAAGTTGGTGGGCTCAAGGTTAAAGAGACAGAGAGAAGAAGCAAAAGGGGGAAAAATGAAAATGATGCAAGACGAAGTCCGAAAGGGTCCATGGACAGAACAGGAGGACATTCTACTGATCAACTTTGTGCACTTATTTGGAGATCGACGATGGGATTTTATAGCGAAAGTATCAGGTTTGAAGGTGGCGGGAGACAAATAATAGGTATGAATATTTGGCGATGGGTGGTTTTGTAAAGGAGCCACCTTTAACCACCTGGTTTTGTTGTAGGTTTGAACAGAACAGGAAAAAGTTGCAGGTTGCGATGGGTTAATTATCTCCACCCTGGTCTTAAAAGAGGAAAGATGACACCTCAAGAGGAAAGACTTGTGCTGGAACTTCACGCCAAATGGGGAAATAGGTTTGAAATATGATCAAAAGTTTGCTTTTTTATCACAATCCGTCCTCTTATTTACTGTTTTTGCCTCCATGATGTTCATCGATCAGATATTACTGAAACGTTTCCCAAATCTAATTTACACTCAGATTTTGATTCAGACACTCTAACTTCCCTTCAATTTACCATGTACTGTTTTAGTTTAAATTTTTTACAATCATCTCTTTTGTCCTCAGAATTTCTCTGAGTGTGTTGTTCTTCACCAAGTATTTGATGGGTAAAAAATCATGTGCAGATGGTCAAGAATTGCTCGCAAATTACCTGGGCGAACTGATAATGAAATAAAGAACTATTGGAGGACTCATATGCGAAAGAAGGCTCAAGAGAGGAAAAGGGCCGTGTCCCCTTCACTGTCATCTTCAAACTGTTCCTTTTCATCGAATATCACTACAGTGAATTCCTCACCTCTCCCAGGAACTGGAGAAGCAAGTTTTTACGACACAGGGGGCTTGAGCAAGTTGCCTTAGCAGGAAAAAATGGGGAGGCTGTGCAGGGAGGTGAAAAGGGATACTCTATGGATGACATATGGAAAGATATTGAAAACACTATTGAACCAGTTTGTGATGGGTTTAGTGAAGAAGGTTGCAATTTTTCTTGTCCTTCGTTGGCTTCTCCATCATGGGAATACCGCCCAGACACACTTTGGAGTATTGGTGAAGAAGAGGGCAAGATGTTTCTGCCTTATGACGATGGGACAATGTTTTTGACTGGCTAATCAGAAATTCTTTATTTAAATTTGTTCATATATGTGATATTTCTCCGAGGAAGCTCTAACCTGTATAGCATGAGTTTTCTCTAAGCTATCCGATATGTAATCGTCTTATGCATAACCTCTCCCAGTGTTTTGTGTGTTTTCACTTTTAAGTTAGGAAAATATAACCTTATCAAATCTTCTACGAGAAGATTATTATGTTCAACCATGTATAATAGACCTTTAAGCATCAATTTCGAAATTTAAGTTTCTGCTGCATGCAAATTGTTGATAGAAATTGAATTTGTTCAATTAGCATTTTAGCATCCTATTCGATTTGAAATCTAAGCCCTTCTCATGATAAAAATCACCAGAGACTGACCATTGAACACCTAATCCATTTGATTCGTAACAATTATTATGATCAGTTCTGGATTTGGTTTCTAACTACTAATATACAGTTCTGCAACCAAAACCCCAAACTAGATGGCTATGCTAGACCATACAATATCCTTCATAATCGTTAATGGTGAATTTAGTAATCTTCCTAGGAAACAAATATTCTTCTATTCGTCCGTTCTTATCTTTTCTATGCGTATTCTAGAAGAAATCATTTTTCACATCAATATTCTTGTAGCAAAAACATCAGGATCCCCACGATTTACACAAGCTTTCTTGGAATTGAGTTTTGACTTAGGAGTATGATAGGTTGTTAAGGTTTAAAGACTGACGTAGATAGAGTTTCGCATCATAAGACGCTATGTACAGCTAACACGACGGTATTGTTATTCGGTTAGCGAGCCAGAATTAAAAAGGTAGCATTCCTGACAAGGGCTCGGAGGTGAAGCTATCAAAAAGTTTATAAAATATTATATCAGATACATAAACCTATTAAATTTTTTCTTTATAATCTTAATTATTTATATTATAAATAGATATAATATTATGAAAAACGTAATAAATTTTTTTAATATAGTTGTGAAATAGATAATATTATTTAATTATATAAAATGTAGATAATATTATAGAATCATATAAAATCTTTATATAATTGTTTTTATTTTTTAACTTTATACTTTTGCCTGATTTGTTTTCAAACATAATCATGACTGGCTTTTGGGTTGGTGTAGCTGCTTAATAATTTTTGTTTTTTTCAAAAATAAAAAGGCAGCTATGCTGAATACTGACGAAATAAAGGTAGATGTATTGGTGATGGGGAATTAATTAAGGGCCGGCCCATTGTTTAGTTTACAACGATCGAGCTTACGGGCTGCGTCAGCACCGACTCCAAAAAGCTGCTTTACTATAGATTGGTACTCTTAAATTGCCATCTATCTTCCCCAAATAATAATATAACAGCTTAGTGCTTAGCTTCTCAAATCCATTAAATCTGTTTGACAAGTCTATATATATATATATATTTGTACACTCAGTCTTTCGTCCAATAAAGTCGTACCGCGAAAAGAAAAGGAAAATGAATGGACGCTTTCATGTCACAAAGTTTGATTAAATTTCTAACTACCATTAGGCTGGCCCCGCAAGGCCACTAATGTCAACAAGGCACTAACAAGATCATCCAATCCCTAAAGAGAGGGAGGGAGAGAGACAGAGAGGGAGAGCTGGAGAATCATGAGCTTTCAGGTTTTCAATGGGGAAGCAGATATCAATGAAATGCTTAAACTCTGTTAATGGCTAAATAAGAAAATCATTTCAAGCACAATCTTCACTTTGATAACTTCAGTCTATGTAATAGTTTCTACTAAGGTTCTTCCACAAAGAAAGAGATGCTGTGAATGATTCTCACCATCCCCCACCAATTTCTACATGTACAACTTACATTGCCAAGATTTTTTTCCACTATCTATAACATTCCTGGATTTTGTTCCAACCAGTTGTACAATTCGTCTTATTGTGACAAGAGAAATTTCAAGAAATCGATTTTTCTGTGTATTTGGAAAATCATGGGCTTTCTTTATAATTTCAAGGTAAAAAATTTGAGTTTATCTTATATTTGGTTCTTTTATTTTTTAATTTTTTTATTGAGATTTTTTATTCTTTCTTTACTTGATTGAAGTTTTTCATGTTTAAAAATTTATTAATTGAAATATTTCGTTAATTGTTCAATATGATATATTAAAATTAATATTAATTAGTCATCAATAGACACCTAACATAGAGAGTCCAGCTCTAACCGAAATTTAAAAAATAAATGATTAAAAGAATTTTTATTATTAAACTAATAATTAGTATTTAAAAATAATAAGAAAATATCATATTGCTGCACCGCATTATAATTGCCCAATTCATTCTTTTCCATTGTGTCAAGAACAATTCTCCCGTTTTCTTTCCATACAAATCTTAATCTCCAAATCCCTAAATCTTTTAAATCTAAAAATAATTGCACATCAATTTCAAAGTTAGACTGCAAATGGAACATCCTCCCCCTCCCTTCCAAGCAAACACAAACGTAGTTATACACTTGAATCACTCAATTTATTTCTCGATCATTAAATTTGCCATTTGTAGTTCTTAAGTATTATTTACACAATTCAAACTTTTGGGCTCCGTATCTTATACCGAGAGGAGACGTAATCTACCTCTTTTCCTGGAACAATAATACTGAAAGAAAACAACCAATTAGAGCAATGCCCAAGAACTAAAAGAGGCACATTCCAAAATTTACATCCTTGGACAACCAGATGCACATAATACCTAAAAGCAAAGAATCATTGTACAAAAATCATTTAGTATGCTAGCCTGCAAATAACAATGGCAAAGGCACGATCTGCAGAATGTTGTAATACAAACAAGCATTGGAACCTACCATTAGAAGAATGAGAAATAGATGGATTCTTCACGAGTAAAGCCTGATCAGACAAAGTAAAAAAACATCCCAAGTTAAACAAAGAAATAGAAACTTACGAGATTAATGTACAACAAAAAAGACCAATTACAGTCATAACTCCAGTAGCTCCAGTAGAGATTCCAAAGTCTTCTTAACAATAATGAGTCATTTCAAATAAAAAATAGACGCATTATGATTAAAGGTTTCAAACGAAAAAAATTCGACAAGTACAAAATCTAAATCAAGCAAAAAAAAAAAAAAAAAAAAACCAATAAAAAAATTGAAAAATACATAACTCAATATTGTAGAATAAACGCTAAAAAAAACTATATCTCAGTTTTCCATTACATATTAGAGTAATTTCAGTTCAACCACCAAAATTTCAGAAGCAAAAATATACAAACAAGAGAAAGCAATTACTTTCGGTCTTAAAAATTGAATTACCTCAGCAAATTTTTGAAATACAGAAACCCTGTTGCTGCAAAATTCCTGAATAACAATTGCCACCTGCAATATTCCACAATAAATTACATGAATTATTGAAAAAAAAAAAAACAAACAAGAGGATATTCAATAAAAATTGAATAGTCAGCAGAGTACAGGGTAATTACTTAGCTGTCGAGGCATTTCGCGTGCTAGCAAAATAGTCAGCCCACCACAACCGTTTAAGAACATTAGAGTGCATGTGGTATTGATTTTTCTCCAAAGAAAATAACTCTATCCATCTAATTATACTTGTACAATTGAGGGTTTGGCATTGGGACTTTAGGGATAGTGTCTCTCAAGAGGGATCATAAAATATTTTTATACTGATTAAAATTTCTATAAAATATTTTACATAAAACAAATACGATAAAGTTAGGAAATTATAAAAAAAAACACTACCTAAATTGGAATTTGAAGGAATGGAGGGGATAATTGTCGATTTTTTTATTAATCCCATGTAACTAACAAAAATTCAAAAAATTATAAATCAATTAAAGGAAAAAGAAAAATAGATGAAAAATTCGAGGAAAAAAAAATTCTCTGAGCTAAATTTCAAATGATCAAATAGGTTCCGACTTACAAGATTAAAAAATAAAACCACTTTTATTCTCTTTTCTTCGGCTGCATTATCAGCTAGCTGGGTCTCCTAAAAAACTTCTTTTTATACAAATAGGTTTAAAAGTATAGTTGGGGTAAATGCCCAATTATTTTTTTTTCTTGAAATAAAATGATATTTTTGCATCAATTTTTGCACAAATCAAAACTAAATTTCTTTCTCCATCAATATTGAAGATGTATATTATCAATGATCAATAGAGGATTTAGATGGCATTTGACTTGTAGGCAATATCTAGAAAGTGTTTAAGATGCGAAATTTTAAATATCTTTCTATAATGTGATTGTTAAGATGTTAGTGTTTGGTTGAAATTAAAATTTTTTAATAATGTACTTTTATTGTGTTTGGTTCATTTATTAAATTTCACGAGAAATTTAAATAAATATACCATTACCTTTAGACTTAAAAATATCTAATTTGTCAATCTAATATTTTTTAAAAATAATTGCATGCATAAACACATATAATATTATATACTGATTATATTCAGAGTCAATTTGTCAACATGATATTTTTTCTAAATAACTATGCACATAACACATTATAATATATCAATTACATTTAAAACCATGACTTAAAGCGTTAAGTAATTGTGTTATATTTAAAATCAGCTTGTTAACATGATAATAATTATGCACATAAACGCATTATAATATATTAATTGCATTTAAAACCATGCGTTAAAGCGGTAAGTAATTGTGTTATATTTGAAATCAATTTATTAACATGATATATTTTTTTAAATAATTGTGCACACAAACACATATAGAATATAATAATCTCATTTAAGGCCATGAGTTAAAAGTGTTAAGTAATTTTATTATTATTAATAAAAACAAGGATATTTAATCCAATAAAAATAAAAATAAGGGCATTAAAGTCTTTAACAAAAAAATTCTCTCCCATCAAAGAATGCGATTTCTTCTATTTTAGAAGGGCATCACATTCCTAGCTTTGGAGGGAATGTGATATCCTAAAGCATCTTAAATATTTTTATATTTAATGTTTCTTGGCAAAACAAACACAAAAATTATTTATATTTAAGATTCTCAGGCAGAAGATATCTAAGATATTCCCATACCAAACACCCCTTAATCATTGAAATAGTGGCTCGGGAAAAAAAAAAATTACCGCGCCACACCTTCCTTTTCGCCGTAGAAGACAAGATATATCTTGAAATGTTGGTCCCCTTAATTTTCTCATCTTCATTTACTGTCATTGGGGCGGTTACTTTTTCCACAGGCATGAACAGTAATTTTCTCGTCTTCATTTACCATCACAAGTGCTTTTTCTATAGACGTGAATGGTAACAATGAAATGACAGAAATTGTTGAAAGACGATGATAACACCAGTGCACTCAATTATGATGAAACTCTATTAATAATGAAGTAAACATAGTTAAGTATTAATTAAAATGGAGTGCTATTATAAATTGATTTAGTGTTATTGTCAATGCCTGTGTCTCCAAAGTTGATGCTCATGCAAGATGGGAGAATGACATAGGGTGCATAATTACTATGATTTGAAGATGCCATGGTACCCACACTTTTAAAAATTATATATTTAGGTCCAATATTTATTTAATTGTAACTATATCTTTCAAGTCAAGACTTATTTCATACAGATAGCAATTTTTGCTTCCTCGTAAATCATGCATTATATCTATAGTTTTTCCTTGATTTTTTTATTCTAGAATTAATATTTTATTTTTCATATTGGAATCCGCATTTCAAAAGTTCTAACTCTACTTTTGTTGCGACAGGATTTTAGAATGTGTCTTGATCAGAATATTTGTTGGTGGTATGTAGAGATGGCAATCAATAAGTATTCGATTCATTAATTCAATTGTTTATCTTACTTATTAAAAAAATACCCAATCTATTATCTATTAACAAATCATCATATAAATTTTTATCAAACGTATACCATACTCATACTAGTTTGTCCGGTTATTTAATATCCATTAAATACCGATTAAATTTAATTTTTTTAAAATATTCATTTTAGTCCTTGTGATTTTTATGAAAATTTTTTTGATAGTTAAAATTTAATTTTTTGTATTTTGGTCATTTATTTATAAGTTTTTTTAGCCTTAAAGTTTTTTTTAAAATATTTTGATCCTTAATGTTTAATTTTATGCAATTAGATCCCTGCATATTAATAAAAAATCTAAATAAATTAGTGAATATTAATAGGATAAAAAGTGAGTACTTATACTTTGAAATCATATTAGTGATTATATATATATTTTTATTCTCATCAACTTCAATATTTATTAGATATTTTTTAATGGATATTTATTGGACTTAAAATGAATGTTTATTTTATATCCAATCCATTATCATTTCTAGTAGTATGGAGTATGAATAAAGCGGTTGTTTTTATGTAAATGAATTATGCATATGTGAAAGTTTTTGGAAGGGAGATATTAGGAAGCATTTGTTTATTTTATTTTATTTGAATGTTGCAAAAATAGTAATGCAATGATCTTTAATTATAATGAATTGATAAAATCAAATTTCAACAAAGGAAAGCAAAATAGCGTTGGACTCTTTTGGAGAAGCTTTCCATGGGGAATAGGAATAATAATAATCAATTAAAGCAAAGATATGCAAATTTGAAAAGATATTTATGCGTATATATAAGAATTATTATACTAAAAACCCATTCTAGGTAGTTCAGGTTGAACTGAATCCGACGATTTGTAAAAAATTTTATAGGAATCAGGGCTGAAAGCTATGTTCAAATACGATTCCTCTTTATACCAAAAAAAAAAAAAAAAAGTAATAGTAAAATGTATTTTGGAGATGTTTAAAGGGCCCTACATAAATTGTGGTCAAGAATTTTTATTTATTTATTTATTTTTAAAGGACTTGCAGGTCGAAAACCCAATGAATTGAATAAGATAAGTACGGGCTCTGGAGCAGTAGGGTCAAGCACTGAAGCTATATAGCTTTTGACTTGAATAAAGAGGGCCGATGTTTATTTATTTATTTATTTTTTTGTGAGACGAACTGTTCACCCTTCTAAACCCCACACCACTCTAGACTCTGACCTTACAATGCCTGCATTTTCGAAGCTCTATCTCTTCGTTTACAATTCCCTTCAGGCCTTTGGATGGTAATAATTGCCTCTTCTTTCTCTCTTTTCTTCTCTACTTTCTATCTCTAAATTAATTAACCATGTATAACTATTTTTCATCTCCATGACAGGGGAGTTTCTCTCTTTGCAATTCTGAATAACTTCTTTTCTACTCACTCACTCAATGGAGCTTATGCTTCTGCTGGAGACCTTATCTGTCAGTTTTTTTTTTTTTTTCTCTTAATGTCTTATTATTGTTTTTGAATATTTGGTTCATAGTTTGGTATTTTATTTTATTTTATTGGTAAATAAATTGAGTTTACAAATAGGCTGATCACACACACATATATGGATTGACCTCCACCGCACCTATGTTCGGCTGGCCGAAGCTTAATAGGCATTTTAATTGGACCATAGAGCATACAATTTTAATTGTTCAAAATCGAATACTAATTAGTGTTTTCTATTCAATATCGGTTTTTTGAAGGTTTGTTGCAAACTGTTTCTTTCTTGGAAGTGATACATGGAGCATTGGGTAGGTATATTATCTATAAGGCTTTATTAATCCCTGTTTAGTTTAGATGGAAGGATCTAATTTTGCTTCGTCTTTGCGAAATGCAAGGCATTGTTCCAAGTGGAGTGCTGTTCCCTTTTATGCAGTGGGGTGGAAGAACACATTTTGTGCTGGCCATTGTTCGTCAAATCGTTGAGGTTTATATCTCTTCTTTTTGAAGTTCTTGTTTCCTTTAAGCAAGCAAACAAACACCCATATAAGTCCCGTGTCTCGATCATATGTTATTACAATTGATGAATTTTAGTAATAAACTATGAACATAATGGCGGTACTACAATGATGTCTCTTGCATCCGCTGATTCTCTAAGTGGTGCCAAGATGAAATGGAGACTTGGTGAATACTTGCATGCATTTATATGATATGCTTTCTAAGTTAGCTCTGATGCAATGATTCTGTAAATATTGTAGGTCCAGGAGTTACCATCAGTTTTTATAACTTTTGTTGCTTGGAGTATGGCTGAGGTCAGTTGGTTAACTACTGGCATATTATTTTCAAAATTAGAAATTTTATCTGTATGTTTTGTCGTTTGTCTGTAGACAACCAAGGAAATTTCACTCGTACCAATGATTTTGTTTTTTCAGTGAGCTTATATGGGAAGTTTTTTTATGCATAAAAATGTGCAACTGCATGACTCTTATCATATGATTTTGCATTTGAACACTGAACGAGTTTCCTTGTAATTTTGGTTGAGCTTTTGACTTTTCACGGTTCTAGGAAAGCATGGAAAAATGGAAAGAAAGGTGTCTAGTAAATGAAAATAATGTGGTGGTAAGGTTATTACCGATCCATTTTCTGGCTGGACACTAATTAAGTAAGCTGTTCACTGCCCATTGGTAGAAGAAAATCTGCTGGATGCTAGAAGAACAGCAACCTAATGGTTGAATAGCATGCTGGCAGGGTTATTAAGGATCAACTTGTGTATTGCTGATTTGTATTAGCACCAAAGGTGAATTGTTATTTGTAGTATGCAACCTGCAATTCAAGTTTAGTAGACTTCATTAAATTCAGGGTTTCAGTTTTATGATTTTCCTTCTTATATGCTTCAATATTTTGATGTCTGATTACTTAACCTTTCATAAAATGGTCACCTAGTCTGCATAATGTTGCTGTGAAACATGAGCTCCATTTGTGGCTTTACTTGCCTTTTTTCCGGTGCTTTGTTGTTCCTTCTGAGTATTGCTGTTATTATTCCCCTTATCCATATCCTATATAATGTAGACATTTTTTTTTTTTTATTATTTTTTTTTGTGATCTGAGTTCAAAACAGAATATTTAGTGGTTACTATATGGTGCATCCAGTGCTTCTGCTCGTATTTTTTTCTTGTTAATTTCTCTGCTCCGGATATAGCTTTGGGGTGCAAACCATAAAATGATATGCTCACAATCTTGGATACAGGTAATTAGGTATTCACATTATGCTTTGAACTGCATCGAAAGTTGCCCATCCTCGATAACCTACCTCAGGTTTCCATTCTACTTTATTTAGCTTTTAAAATCTTACTCGCTGAAATGATGCTCCTACGCACTTGTTCACAGAAACAAAGACTGCATACTGAATTGTCAATCTCTCTCTCTCTCTCATGCACACAAATAAAAACACATCCAAACTTATGCGTGCAAACAAAATGTCTAGTGTTGGAATTTGTACAGTAGGAGCTGAATCTTTGTTAAATGTGTTCTATAACTTCTGCTTTTGCTAGGTATACTGCATTTATTGTGCTGTATCCTATAGGACTTGCTCCTGGTGAAAGTGAGTGCATGATTTCTAATTTGTCTTGATTTTCAATTTTTTGATATGATTTACCTGCGACTTTGTCTTCCGTTTTTTGAAGCCTTTTCACTTGTAAGATTTCTATTCATCATTCACCATAATGCAGTGTGGACCATGTACCAAGCTCTTCCATCTGTAAAGAAGAAGGGTCTCTATGCAGAATTTTTTGCTGCTTTTGCTTGCAGCTATTATAATTTTCTCAGGGTATGTCTGACTTCTTGTGAGGTTACACTCATTATATTCACTCAATCTTGAGTTTTTTTATTTTTTCCTGAGAGTAAGCAAGAGTTGGTATTTAGTCAAACTTCTATCAGGGAATTAAATATATTCAACCAGCATCAAGTTCAGTTTCACAGATTTCTTTTCTATTGTACATTTAAATATACCTATTAATCATTTTTCTTGGTGATTTAAGAAAAAACTGTACATTGATCCGTGGAATATTAATGATGACTAGAAGGATATCTATATATATATCTTTTCAATCAAATTTTTTTATTAAAAAAAATAGGATTTACGTACTAATTCAGCATTGTTTCTTTTTAATAAACGTAACATATTTTTTGATGATTTTAATCTTTTAACTACCTTCACTACCGGGACTGAACTTGGTCTATTCCAAAAATAGGCGAGCCATTGCCAAAGAGAATAGCTTACCAAGGCAATAAAGAGAAAATTATATCAAGTATTACTGTTGGGTGTGGGTGATTGGGTGGGGATTTTATTTGTTTCATTTTCTTTTGGTCATTTAAAAATTCAAACCCTTGCCCTTTCTCACTCACCCCTTTCAGATGGTGGTCTTACCATCAAGGCAAAACATCACTGGATGAAATGGATTTATGTGATGGGATCTTAATTGTAAAATGCTGCATGACATGCATGCCTGGATGTTTTGCACTCTCTAAGAATATATAAATGCACATATGACAAGCCTAACCTGTCAGCCTGATTTTGTGGAAGCGTGAAATCATAATGATAAGTGCCCAGATTGAAGTTAAAAACAGATTGTTATGATGTTCAATTGTTGGAAATTTTCTTTTCTGGAACACATGCCAAAGTATTCAAGCCTTCTGCAGTTTGCAGATATTTTCAAGGTTCAATTTGATTTTAATATTTTACCCTGATGTGTGGTATGTCTATGCATCATAAACACCACCAGGCTGTGTTTCTTTTATTGCTCTCAGATAATGAGCAGAACTATTGAACTGTTGTTTATTTAAATATTGATCAAATTTTCAATCTTTGAATTTCTGGATTAGGTTGTGCTTGTCTGCTATCCTTTCCTCTGGTTAAATCTTTACCTGCATTTGTTAAAGCAACGAAAATCAAAATTGGGTAGGCGCCAAGAGACAAAGAAAAAGAAGTGAATGCTAGAGTTTGTTCATAGTGATGCCTGGTGACCATCCTCGGTATTATCATTTGTGCTTGGTATTTAATTTCTGATGAATCTGACTGATGCACTCGCTACCTTTCTTGAATGTTAGAAATCTGATTTTTGGAGCTCTATATTTTGTAGTCTGCCTGGCTGGTGCAGAGTAATGAAAGTTTGACTTGAAATTCTGATTATGAATGGAGACATGGTGTTGCTGCATATTGAAAATGAGGGGTCATTCATTTATTTTAGAGGTGAGCTCATTCTCTCTGATGTCTAATAAGAGTTTGGACTTCAATAAACAAGTAAAATTTGCTTCAATCATACTGGTATGTGCTGCCTAGTATAAATGTTTTTTTTTTTGTTTTTTTAACAAGTTGACCTGTATGGTGTCGGTTAATCTGTACTATGGTATGCCATTTTGACTCTTGTATGTACCTTCTTGTGCATGGTAGATTGCCACGCAAATCAATGCCTTTTATTTAGCAATAATCATGCTCACCACCATTCAAAGCTCCTTCTGCATGCCTTGGAACCCAGTACAGACTAATGTTCCCTAACCAGTCTCTACAACCCTTTTAAACATGACTTTCTATCTATATAATATTAAGGTTGATGATTTCCACTCATTTAAATTCCTTATGTGATATATACTCACTCGCTATCCAATTTCTAATGTTTTCATTGATTGTCTTCAATCATGTCGGGATTTGTATTTTCAGTTAATTGATCTTGAAGTACATACATAATTCCAATCCCTAGCTGGGGCTTTAACTGCCTTGCCTTTAGAGTAGTTTCAACTTTCAAGTGTTGTGTAGTCCTTGATTTAAAGCTTAAAAAGGTTAGCTATAAGCAATTTATTTGCAATTTAACAAATGGAACGAGGGTTCTGCTATTAGGTTGATTCCTTAGTAGTCCTGTGTGAATAACGAGTCACTCAACGCTTGCCAAATCAATCATCTTTATACTTTGTAGTTTCAACTGCTTGACTCGATGTGTCTTAGGGGGCTTAGCTTTGGGCGAATGAATCGTAGATGGTGCTTTAGAGTGGTACTTTATTTAATCTACTCAATTTCACAAGACAAAACTCTAGGATTGATTTCTGAGCAATTGTTTTAATCAAAGTGGAAGCCTTCACCTAAACCTGTAGCGTGTGCACAAGTGGACAATTCTCAAATGATTTAAGAAAAACAGAGAGAGATAACAGGAATCGAATATTAACGGAACCAGATAAAAACAACGCCAACATCATCCAAACCTTCAACTATGTTTCATCCAAAGTTGGGAATTATCAACTTTTTAAAAATCTGCAGGGGGGCTGTTTTGTGTGCTTGGGTTAATGAATAAAACCTCGTAGACAATGGCAGCGATGGCAGAACCAACGAATGGACCGAGCCAGTAGACCCAGTGGCTTTACCATGGCCAACTGACAATGGCTGGTCCAAAGGAGACTGCGGGATTCATAGATGCACCATCAAAAGCACCACCAGCTAAGATGTTTGCACCCACAACGAAACCAATAGCCATGGGTGCAATTTTCCCAATGTCCCCTTTCTCTGGGTCAACAGCTGTTGCATACAGAGTGTAAACCAAACTAAAGGTCATCACAATGTCGAAAACAACTGCGTTCCAAGCACCAACTCCAGATGATAGAGCAAAGGCCGATGTTTCCTATTAAAAAAAAAAAAAATTCAACAAGATGGTTGGTTCAGTAAATGAACAATTGTTAAATGCGTATTAGGTGGTGATTATTGTATAACATGGATATATAGTGATGAGGTAATTAAAATTCTTACTAATCCACCAGTTGCAAACTTAAGAAGCAAACAAGCAACTACAGATCCGAGGCACTGGGCTATCCAGTACAGAAGGCTTCTAATGAATGTTATGGCCACCAATGAATGCGCCGAGTGTAACGGCAGGGTTTACGTGTCCGCCAGAAGTGTTGGCACCAACTGAAACCGCAACAAATAGTGCGAAAGCGTGAGCCAGCGAGGCAGCTACTGGGCCGGCCGGTGTTGATGAGCCAGTAAGCTTGTCTGCAAACATCCATCATTTTGATTACTGTTAGTAAATCTTTCTACTTGTATAGTTGTCCTATAACAAAGAGAATACATTCTAAAATTAATAGTGACTGAGCTACTATTTCGAAGGATCGATTTTAGCACTGAATTTCAAAGCAAATAGATAAAATATATTTTCATATCCATAACATTAATGAGAAATCAAGTTAAATTGAGCTGAGGAAAAAAAAATAGTAGGGAATTAGTAGGTTCTTACTGAAAGCCATGCCAGAGCCCTGTCCTGCGAAAACAAAAATGATCATTGAAATGAACTCAGCCAGTGCTGCCTTGAGTGCATCTGGCTGGCCAGCATCGGCTGGAGATCCGGTTGCAATGCTGGTGATTGGCATTTTTCAAATTATTTAAATTTAGCTTTAAGTCTGATTTCAAACTGCCTTAAATTATCCATTTTTCTTTTTGCTGAAGCTGATGATCACTTGGAGACATTATATATAGAGGGTCTAAAGGTCTAATGGAACAGTAATCGGAACAACCAATTATATCCGGTTACAACTTTATTTTTAACGAGCCCTTTACTGGCAGCCACCTGTCTTTGTCTAATAGGCGCTCCTCCATTCTGTTGCAATTGTGCCACGTGTATGGCTGAAGTGATATAACCAGCGAACCGAGGGTGGAGAAATTCTCATACCGGACCAACAAGGGATAGGTTGTGAGAAATTTTATAATACTCGAGGAGTAATTAGTGGTTTGTATAGTAGTTACTTCATTGATTCACTTCGAAAGAGAAATAGACACAAAAAAGAAGAGAGAAATATAAGAAAGAACTAGTTTGTAACCTAGTGGTAATGGTCTCTTACAACAAAAGGTCACAAGTTCAAATCCTAGCAGACTAGTTCCGCTTTTGCTAGGAGCCTTGAGTGTGTGTGAGTAAAAAGAAAAAGAAAAAAGAGAAACAGGAGAAAGAAATTACAAAAAAAAAAAAATTAAAGGAATGTGGAAATCTTCTTATTACTTTTAGTTGGTCCGGATATAATTTTCTCTCTCTCTCTCTCTTTAAAGTCTATCTCTCTCCTTAAAGTGGATTCATGAGCCTTTAGTGTGTAAGTAAAAAAAAAAAAACAGAGAAACAAGAGAAAAGAAATCGAAGGAATGTGAAAATCTTTTTATTACTTTTGATGGGTCCGGATGTAATTCTCTCTCTCTTTTTTTAACGTCTATCTATCTCTCTCCTTAAAGTGGATCAATGGAGTAATTACCGTACATTGCACTAGTTACTAATTACTCCTCGAGTATTATAGAATTTCTTTATAAGTGATGGGTCCCCCAATGTTTGTCAAAGGATTGACCATTGGATTTGTTTACACCGGGTTGATGTGGGCGCTTGGGGTTATTGGTGCTACCTTCATTTTCATTCACTAATCAAACTTAATTATTGTTAATAAAGTTGGTTTTGTTTCTGCTTAGTGGAGATCATGAATATGTGTCGATGATATCACCAATTCAATTGAGGCATGATGTGTAAGGTGTGGTGGAGCTGTAGCCAATGGAGTGGATTGGTTGAAAGTCATGATAATCTCAAGAATAAATTATAAATTAGTCTCTTTAGTTTTTTAAATAATTCAATAATCTTTTTAGTTTTAAAAACTAATTAAAGTATTTTGTTATGAAAAATAGAAATAATAGGAGAATTTAAAAAAATGACAGGAAAAAGAATTCACTATAAAGTGAATACAAGTGATAAGAACTTCAAATTGTTCTCTTAATCTCTCTAAAAACTTGTAAATTAACTAATGAATAATCAAGCCTATTTATAGGCTTCAAAATTGAAATGGAAATTAGAAAGGACTATGAATAATTAAAAATACATCAATTGCATCACCCTTTCAATTTCTTATATTAAATGGTGAATTGAATCACATTAAGGATCATGAGTAGCGAGAATATGAAAAGTTAATGAACATTCATTATTTTATAACACTCCTCTTTGAATATCCATTGTACGAGGAACATGTCTCGTTAAAACCTTACTAGGAAAAAACCTAGTGAGAAAAAAATCATAGTAAAAGAAAAAGAGTAAAGTATTCCTTGCACACATTAATCTTCATTTTGGTCTCTCCCTATTGAAAACATTATTTAAGATCTCTAAGATGATGTATTTCAATCTTGTGAATCATCTTCTCAAAAGTTGTGGTAAGTAATGCCTTAATAAACAAATCTACTAGATTATCACTTGATCAAATTTTTTGAACATTAATATCACCATTTCGTTGAAGATCATATGTGAAAAATAAATTTGGTGATATATACTTCATTTTGTTACCTTTGATGTATCCTTCATTTAATTGAGCTATGCAAACAGTATTATCTTCATACAAGACTATTGAAACTTTCTTGTCTGGTGGATAAACCATATGTCTCTTGAATATGATAAGTCATTGATCTTAAAAAAATATATTCTCGACTTGCCTCATGAATTGTTAGTATTTCTACATGGTTTGAAGATATGGCGGCGATAGTTTGCTTCATAGAATGTCATGATATAGCTCGCATCTCCATATGTAAATACATAACCGAGTTTGAGATTGAGCTTTGTGTGGATCGGATAAATAACCTATATCTACATAACCAATTAATCTAGCCTTTGATTTGTTAGAGTAATATAAGCCTATATCAATTGTTTCTCGAAGATAATGTAGTATATGTTTGATTCCATTTCAATATCTCTCGTGTTAGAGTGGAACTATATCTTAGTAATAAATTTAAAGAAGTTTTTCGTTATCTTCTCGAGGTCGAAAAGTGGTCCTTTTGAATATCAAGTGAACGAACTACCATTGGGCTAGTCAATGTATGAGCCTAATCCATGTAGAATCTTTGTAGTACTTTTTCCATAGATGTTGATCGATGAATAAAAATTCCATCTTTTAAGTGTTCGAATCAGTAAGCCGAGAAAAATTTTTATTTTTCCAATATCTTTCATATCAAATTCTCTTTTTAAATAATTTATGGCACTTAAAATCTCTTAAGGAGTTCCAATTATATTTAAATCATCAACATATATAGCAATTATCATAAACCCTTTTTTGAATTTCTTTATAAAGACACATGGACAAATTGAGTTATTTTTATAATCTTCTTTTAATAAATAATCACTAAGACGATTATACCACATGTGTTCGAATTATTTCAATCCATATAGAGATCTTTGTAATTTAATCGAATAAATCTCTTGAGAATGTATTTTACATGTTTTAGGACTTTTAAGTCTTTCCGAAAATTTCATATAGATATCATTATCAAGTGACCCATATAAATAGGTTATGATTACATCCATTAAATGCATATAAAGTTTTTCACATGCTTGTCAAGCTAATAAGATAAAGAAATGTAATTGCATCTATTACAGGACAATATGTCTCTTTATAGTCAATGTCAAGTCTTTGCGAAAACCCTTGCGCTACAAGTCTTGTTTTGTATATCACAATTTCATCTTTTTCATTTCTTTTTTGCACAAATACCCATTTGTATCCTACTCGACTTAACATCTTCGAGTGTTTTAACTATGAGTCCAAAACTCGCTCGTTTTGTGAGAGATTTTAATTCTTCATGAATTACATCTTTCCATTTAAGCCAATCATCTCTATGTCGATATTCTTCCATAGATTTAGGCACAAGATCCTTATTCAAAATATCAATTGCCACATTATATGTAAAGATGTTATCAATTGATGTTTCTTGTCGGTCCTATTTTCTCCTTGTGTTAACATAATTTATCGAAATTTCTTGATTTTTCTCAAGCATTTGGGCTTCTTTTGGAAGTTTGTTATCAAAAACATCTTGGATCATTTTATCTCGCCTCCTTTGTATTTTCATCTTGATTATTTTCTCTTTTTTTCTTTTGAGAATTTTTATCTTTAGAACGAATCGATCTTTCATGCTTTAGACATGCTTTAGATTCATTTGTTATAATATTAATAGGTTGTCCTATGAGGACATTGATTTTAATAGGAGCATTCTCAGCAAGAATATGTGATTTAGTTACTCTCTTTGGATCGGAGAATGCATCTAACGAGTTGATTTGCAAGACTTTGTAAATGAATTATCCTCTAAACTTCAAGTTCACATTGTTTTGTATGGGGATCAAGATGATATAAAAATGAAGTATCCTATGTAATTTCTTTTTTTAACATTTTTAATCGCTTATTTTGTTTATTTTCTCCCCCTAATGTTGGAAAAATTGTTTCATCAAAATGACGATCGGCAAAACGAGTCGTGAAAACATCCCCCGTTAATGGTTCAAGATATTTAATTATAGAAGGAGATTCATATCCAATATATATTCTCAATCTTCTTTGAGGACCCATTTTAGTTCGTTATGAAGGAGTAATTGTGACATAAACCGCACATCCAAAAATCCTTAAATGAGAAATCTTAGGCTCGCTGACCGAAGTCAATTGAAGAGGAGATAATTTCGGATAACTTGTAGGCTCGATATGAATAAGTGTTGCTCGTATGTAAAATTACATGTCCCCGTACATAAACAGGGGGTTTTGTTTTCATAAGTAATGGTCTAGCTATCAATTATAGGCTTTTGATAAATGATTCTGCTAGACTATTTTGAGTATGAACATGAGCAACAAGATGTTCAACTCTTATTCCAATAGACATCCAATAATCATTAAATGCTTGAGAACTAAATTCATCAGCATTGTCAAGATGAATTGTTTTAATGGTATAATCTGAAAATTGAGCTCGTAATCGAATTATTTGAGCAAATAACTTAAAAAAGTCAGGTTTCGAGTTGATAATAAGCATACATGCGAGCATCTATTAAAATCATAAAATATCTAAATGGTCCACATGATGGATGAATTGGTTCATATATCACCTTGTATACATTCTAAAAATGTTAGAGAATCAATCCCAATTTTATTTGGTGAAGGCTTAATAATAAGTTTTTCTTGAGAACATACGAACATGAAAACTCATTAGATTAAAGAATCTTCCGGTTCTTCAATGGATGTACATATTAATTTTCAATAATTTTTTGCATCATAATGAGTCCAGGATGGCCCAATCGGTCATGCTACAAAATAAAAGGATTAGTAAAATTTTGGTTTATCGTGGTATTTGTTTCAATCATTTGAATATTTGTATAATAAATGCCGGAAGAGAAAGCATGTAGTTTCTCCAATACATATTTTCTACCCGATGTAATTTTTGTAATATATAAGTACTCAATATTCTCAACATTTGTTATCTCAATATGCTATCCATTTAAACGAATATCTTTAAAACTCAACAAATTTCTATGGGACTTAGGAGAGAATAATGCATCGTCTATAATCAAATTTATCCCTCGAGGTAGTAATATATTTGCTCTTTCGGAGCC